GCTAGCTTTTCCGGAGACAGTCCTGGATTTGGATTTGGATTTTATTTGAGCTATCACTGATTCACTGCATATTATGTACCATTATGTAACATGTACATGATTGTACTTGTACTGCTAATGATATCAAACATACAATGACTTATGTAGACCTACATGACTGTCATGTCAGTACAGTAGTCAGTAGAAAGACACTCTCGTATGCGGTCAAATGGGCGGAAGGATACCTGTCGACATGATGTCGATCGAATCGTAGAATGGTAGAGTCTACAGACTCAGTCAGTACCGGTACTGTACAGGAATTGCGTGCCATGGCCACTGCCACTGGTCAGGGAGTCTGAACTGACTGAAGAGGCTGAGTGAAGACTGAAGTAAAAACCCACAACTACTGCTGTGTACTGTGTACTGTCTGTAGTTGTACTTTCACGACTACACTGACTGTCTACCACTTTGTACCAGTGTACAGTACAGTACAGACAAGTTTCTCTTCCAGGGTAGATCTACGGATATATCAATAAAATGTGAAGGATCACGTTACTTAGGGGCTGCGATCGGATTAAAAGGGCCATCCACCACAAGCTGATACCGGCCACTACTGGCCGTTCCTCCTCAAATGACTTTATGAGACTCTTTTTTCCATTGCCTTATCGGCTAGGTGGTCTCGCGATCGTGCAGCCTTCAACTCTAATACGTCAGTATGAAGCGTCCAGGTTCATCACTGCTCGTGCAACTAATCAAGGGAGGCATCCGCGTGCTCGGAGATGCGTTGGATGTTGTACGGAAGAGGAAGAACCAATCGAGAGCATCCAATCGAAGAGGCCAGTCGGATGCACTGTCGTCTGTCATCGCGGACTCTTCGCCAACTTTTTTCCGGACAATTGACCTGGCAAGGGAGAGAGGAGCTTCCAGTTGGCTCACCTGCAAGCCATTACGCCACTATGGGTTCAACCAGTCACCTAACGAAAGGTGAGATGGACTGTGCCCACGGTATGGTTGGACACCCCAGCGGCTGCCGTCATCATGTGTATGTGGGGTGACCGCCTCTGTGAGCCATCTCTTATCGAGCCCAGTTGGCGGTTTTCCATCAATAAGACACAATGAGATTAGAGGCATAAAGGCTTCACTTTTGAAGATCATATGCAATAATATAGCCATTGAACCAAGCTCACAACCATTAACTGGAGAGCGGCTTCGCTATCGCACGGCAATCACCGAGGACCAGGCACGTCTCGATATTGGTGTCAGTGGATTGTGGGGCAGTCGTTTCGAGCGCACACTCATTGATGTACGGGTGTTTAACCCTCGTGCTGCCTCGAACCGCACTGCACCTCTGGCCACTGTCTATCACCAACATGAACAGGAAAAACGAAGGAAAAACGAGGAGCGGCGCGGGTCCGGAATGTCGAACATGCGTCGTTTGCGGTGGTGGTCATGCCGGCGTCAGGTGGTTTTGGGCGTTCGGCAACCAGCCTGTACAAGAGAATCGCGTCGCCGCTGGCTGACAAACGTAATGAACCGTATGCACAAGTCATGGCATTTTTCAGGCCGCATTTCCTTTGCCCTCCTAAGGTCCTGTATAGTGTGCCTTAGAGGGTCTAGAACATTATTTGGAAAATAACAACAAATTTGAGAAAGAATTGATCAACAAGAGCCTCCTGCCACGCTGGCGGTTTCTGAGGCAGCTACATGTATTGGTGTTTAGTATTTCTTTTTAGAACTTTATTATTCATAATTATTTTGTATTTGTGCAGGCTTTGTGGCCGGATATCGGATTCCTCGAATCCTCACTGCTTCTGCTAACAAGACAGCACAGACTAGACAGTCGGTGCATACACCGCGTGTAGATCTACACCTGTACTAAGTACTAGTTGTAATGATCCCCGGCCCCGTGACCCAGGCCAGGCCATGTCGTGACATGCATGACGTTCCCGTGGTGCCGGCTGCTTGGCAACAAAAAAATATTGCTTTCACTGAGCCTCACTTGCTCCGTCAGTTGCACTTGCAGGAGCCACACGTCACGACTACATGTTTTGTAGCTGCACTTCGCATCCTGCTCGCCTTTGCTTGACCGACGACCACATAACTGAGACACAGACTGCCACTTGCCAGTCGACTAGTCACTGACTGAGTCTGTGGCGCAGATCCACCCTACATAATAAGTAAGAGGCTCGCTGATGAGTGAGAAAAAAACAGGCAAACCCACCTCCGGAGCTCCTTGCATGATGCTTTTTTTTGGCATTACTACAAAGTACAATGACTATGTAGATCTACAGACTCAGTGTCAGTAGTAGATCTACTATTTTAGGCCGTGTGCTTGTCACCAGTGACGACAGTCAGTATCTCAGGCTACAACAGTTACATGCCTCAAACTCAAAGCGGCACACAGTTACTAGTAGTTGGAATAGCCATAGTAATAACTAATACTATTGTTGGATAGTTATTTCAAGTTTCCACATGAACAGGCTGTGTAAATGTTGCTGCGCGGTTCTGTGGGCAGAAGAGCAGCGAAGGTGCTTTGGCCAGCGCGCTGGTGCGCACAGTAGGTTGTGCAACGCCTGTAGACGCACGAGGTCAGCGGAAAAGACATTGCAATTCAAGCACATTTTACTGTAGTCTGCAGCCGCAATACTATAATTGCCCGGAGTTGATCGAGGTTGAACATGTCGGACCTGCAACCCCCAAGACCTGCCCGAGTCCTCTCCGATAAGGTAGGGCCACATAATCAATGACCATGTAGGATGTGGGATAACCTTTGCAGGTGGGAGACGCAGCAATCCCCTGCATCTGCGTCCTGGGATCGGCACCAGGTGCGTCTGGGGACCAGCTATGCGGCCAATCGCTGCATAGCATGAGAACAAAGTTCACGCACTCGCAACCAAATAATTGCCTCAAGCGACAGCAAAATATGTAATGATCTGTTGATGCAAGTGGGCAGTTGGAGAAGTAATGGAGGTGTCCTCTGTGTCGGCCCAGTTTATTACAGTACACTTGCCAACACGCTGTAGAGTCAACATGGGGCAGAAACGGGGTACTAGTGCTTAGTGCTATGTATGACCCCTGATGTACATGTACGTGTACGTGTATGTGTACGTGTGTGAGTGGGCAGGGTAGTACTGGTACCTGCACCCTTTTCGAGTTTTTGAGGAAGAAACAACCAAACATCTACTCAACTGCATGTATAGCACTGCCCCACTTGTTCATCACAGGCATATAACCAGAGGTAATGTGTGACAGATGTGAAGTGAAATTAATATAATCAGTGGAACCACAAACACCTACATGTATAGGTGATTCAACGTGATTTGCCACATGTCACTGACCACCAGGAGGATTCGCAAGTTTTGAGTCTAGTTCTCCCGATTCAGGACTGTTTAACATGCAAGGTATTGCCGGCATGGCGCTGCAGTGCTGCGTGTCGCAAAGTTATGCACTGCTACTTGTGAAGGATGATGCATCAAACCTCAGGGTGGGAGTCCATGTGTTGGCCTATTTATATCTGTAGACGTGGAGCACCGTAGATCCGCCCCACTGTATGCATCGAGTGCATAACACTTTTTTATCATCATACTAGCATGCATTTAATTGTTTGCCAGCAAGCAGTTCAGTTGGCCCGGTTCATTTGATCAGTTGCAGGGGCGTCGGACACGGTACGGTCACTATGGTATTGACCGTACCACTTTTTGCCCCAGGTACCCCGTGAATCAATAAAATACACTGATCTGGGATCTAAATTAAATTATTTCCAAAATTTTCGACTCAGCCGCCACTCCACTACGAGTAAATTGTAGTTCAGATGGCTGACCGTACCACACTAAAATACCTTCCGACGCCCGGCGCCCCTGAGTTGACACTGTGACTGTAGTCACTATACCCAGGGAGGTAGGTAAAAAAAGAGAAAATTATCATGTCCGTTTCCAAAGGGAACTCGCGACAGCCGCCAGCACCTGATAGGTACTCCTCCCCTCAATTTAAAATGAGCAAGTTATACTTCAACCAGGCTAGTAGGACTTGGATATCGGTTTGGGTCATGGCTGTCTGCAACCAGGATCCCACGGTCTGGACATCCTAACCACAGTTTGTAACCCCAGGCTGTCCGTCTAATTCTGTTCTGGTGCTGCTGCTGCTGCTGCTGCTGCTATTGTTTATGTTCTCTGCCGTGTGGGATGCCAGCACAGTGTTTGGTGTAATGGGCTGTACATGGCCTCCGTGGCAAGAGTACAAATATGAAGTGTGGGCCAACAGCTAATTATACATGTCCGCACTAAGTGCTTCCTTTCTTAGCACTTTTAAATCAATAAAAGGGCCACAGGGAGGTTGTCACAAGGTTTAAAATATTTAGATGTCACCCAGAGTCATTTTGCGATCTAACGTGGTAGTGGTGACAGTTGTTCAAGGTGTGGGTAGAAGACAGCGAGCCGCTGAATGCATCATTTTACCATTTAAGTAATCCGTTTTTCTCTCCTCTCTGTTTTCCCTTTGTGTTGCAATCCGCATTGCGTTTTTTTTTGATTCAGAGAATCGACCTACGGACGGTTGTGATACCACCCAAAATCTGGCAACCGCAGCAGACATGCAGCCGCAAGAGTGCTGACAAGGAGGGCAAGGTTGTCGGCTTCTTGCGGTAAGGATGCACACAACACTTCTCTGCGAATAGATCTGCAGTGATAGCTGCGTGGTATGTAAAAGTTCGTACGTGTACGTGTATACTCAGCGGATGCACGAGTATCATTGCTTACGCAGTGCGGTTTCAATACTAACCTACCAACGATAGTAGCAGATCATTGCCTTCATAACGTTATAATTTATGGGGATTCCATAGAGTTAAGCGCTAGGCTGTGCCGAATTTACGTTGTGGACAGTATCGTTGACCAAATAGGTCCACACCAAAATACGGTCCATGTATCTCGTCCATCACATGTCGTTTCTGCCATTCGGCCTAGTGGTCTATTCTCATTGTGGGCTCAGCTCAGGTCGAGGCCACAATGACACATCATGTTTTTGAAAGCTGAGCATAACTGCCCAGTGGATGTGATCACGAAAGCTGTCTGGCTCATGTGTATTGTGGTCGTTGTGGAGCATGAATGAATGCAACACCTACCTGGTTACTGTACTGTGTTATGATGAAGCACATTTGGTGACATGCAACCGTGACTCTGAGCAAAACCAGTGACATCCTGGCTTGAAATCGGTATGGCCTGGAGGCTTAGATGCTGGACTGGGCAGCAAGTACATTGTACTGTATTCACGGCCATCATGGCTTCACTACATGTGCAGTCTATGTATGCTACAGCGCAAATCAGACCTGTCAGAAATACCTCCCCTGATGAAGTCGGGCCACCACGCGCTGCTTCAAGTGTGGCCCCCAGTTGTGTATTGCGCTACTTTGCAGGTGATTTTCGTACAGACACAAGACTTCCCGCTGAATGGATATGTGTCACTATACCATTGCATGTACACAACCGAGGCCGCCGCCAATGCTTTTAAACCACATTGAATTCACATGTACATGTATGTGTTTTCCGCATTCTTTCTTACTGTGCTATGTGACCTCTGAAAACACAGGGTGTCGCCAGACATGAACTTGAAGACGGTTCGCACGGAGTTCCAGATTCAGCTAGAGGAAACCATGGTACCGACGGACTATGTCTTCCTGCGCTGCGTGGGAGACTTCCTAACACTGGTGAGTCACATTTGTGTTAGACTACGTGCTATAGAATCTATAAACCAAGCCTTATCTTGATCGTGTGACTTGCATTCGCAGTTCAGGTTGTCCACAGCCATGAACTAATGAATGATTTCAGACGTCGCCCGTGGGCACTGTTGACATCAGCCCTGGTGTAGATTGCTCCTAAATTGGTGTTGCCAACGATATTGGTGTTGCCATAAACATGGTCGGCGACATGTCTCCAACTGCTAGAGAACTGCAACCAGTGGCTGCAACTGGAGCACGATCCAGATCAATGCAGGAGTATCTCAACTTGCCTGCTTTACATCATCGTCATTAATGTACATGCATCTCACTCAGGAGGCTTCCGAAACTCAACCAGTTTGTTATCAGCTGATGAGTAGTGACAGATCACAGAAGCACAGAACTGTCCTTAGAATACAGCACCACGGTGTTTCATTGGCACGTTTTAACACAAGCGTCTCAGAGTGCCCGCTGCTATACATGATTCGGCATTTCATTGGCTACTATGATAGATGGATGATCAGATCAAGGGCATACTGTGTAGTTCCATAGCAACTCCCCCCCCCCTTCCCCCCCTCCCCCCCCCCCCCCCCCCCCAGACCAGCACCACCCCCAGATACAGGGAATAGGAGCTAGAAAAATCCAGGCTCATTTTCAAGCCAACAAAAAGAGATCAACTGAGCTTGGGCCCATGCTATGTGGTGTTACTCTGCTGCTGCAGGTCTCTAAGAAGCAAGAACAAACTCTGAAGGCCAAATCCTATGCACCGCCATATGTAAGTTGCACATGCTGGCCACTGCACCACGTTTCACTGCCTCATCTGTAACCTTTGAAAGTGTACTTAATTTAGAGGTGATCCGGGTACCCGTCTGTTCATCTGCTGATCCGTTACCAAACGAGTGCCCGTTAGTCGTGTACGACGGTACAGTACGGTATTTTAGCTGGCTTCGACAGTCGTACAGTTCGATGTACAGTTTGAATGTGTTGTTGGCTGTTCGATCTTGCTTCATATTACTGTTTTGCATGTAGCGCCGTAATTGCACATGCTGCGCTCGTCGCAATGTAGTGTTCTTGCTGTGAATTACATGACTTCACATGTCCTCCTGGCACGAAATGTGGAAGGCTATTGTATAGTAACTGTAACTATTGGCTGCTAAAGGGAACGCGATAACCCGTCCGTTAAGCCAAGTACCCATTTGTAACCTTAAAGGGTAACCGTTTCACCCCTAACCTTAAAGTGCAATACACCACATTGTACTCACATGTAGGGAATTCTATGAAGAACATTGTTCTGCTGAGTTATCTTAGTAAAACTTTTGAATAATGAATACCAAGCGGAATTAATGCCGATACCGACAACGACTGCAGTTCTGTCGGGCGCCGAAGAACGGAGCCGCTGAAGAACGGAGCGCCAAAGAACGACCAGGCTAGAATTTCACCAAGCACAGCATACCAATGTATGCAAGATGACTCAACTGTGCATAGCTGACCCCCCCCCCCCCCCCCAGTTCTTCGGCGACCGACAGTACTGTACGGCAGTGCATGTATGTATGCACATGTTACGATATGTATGTATGCACATGTTACGATATGTATGTATGCATATGTATGTATGACTGTACATGTGTGTGTGCATATGTTGTTTTCTGCAGACAAGCACACCGGATGTTTACGTGCTGTCGACCGAATGTCTGACTTCCCAGGCTATGACATCTAGTAAGTGAAGTGTGGCTTTAGAACAACCCCTACATACCCATGGATGATGTTCAACGCCATGCCAACCATTGTCGTCATGCCAACCATTGGTATGAGCATGGCCTGTAACCATTGGTGTGACTGAATGTTCCCTCCACTGATGTCACTATTTATAACCTCCCCCCCCCCCCCTCCCCTTCCACCTCACCCCCCCCCCCTCTCCGACTAGTGCATGTTGTTTGTACAAGTCCACAAGTGTTGGATATTCACAGTTTAAAAATAGTGGCAGTCATCATGGGAAGATCAGACTCCTTCAATATTGACATTGGTACTTGGTGGTCACTAGTAGTCGACCACTGGCAATCCTGCCACAGTGGATATAGTCTACCTGTAACGATACATCTTGCAATTGTGAATCACTGTAGCTCCTGCATGCAATGCATGCCAGCAGCTGCGAATTCCAAATACTCTTCACATTTGTTAACTATGTGTCTCTTCTGTACTGCACATCTCCTCCTATATCATTCCAGTTGCAACTGCTGATAGAATTACGTCTCCTCTGATTTCTCCGATGTCTCCTGATCCTAAAGAATTTCCTCAGGAGCAACCAGTTACCGCAGGTGCTGCGGCTGTAGAGGACCGTATGTTGGTAAGCCCGACCTCTCCGTTTCCAAACAGTTTGAATTCGGATGACTCTCTGCGTGCTGTTTCAAAGCGATCTGACTCAATACCGCAAGTCTCAATATCGTTATCACCTACACCAACTCCCCAGCCGCCGTCACAACCGCGAGATCCAGCATTGCCGAGACGAAGTCCCAGGAGCGGTCGCAAGCGCAAGGAAGTGCAACCCACTGCTGACAACGCTGACGGATTGTCCTATGCAATGCCGGTCTCAGCAGCACCGGAACCAAACTCCACGTCCCTGCTACTGGGAATGCTACGGGAACCGCATCCACTGAGCGGCTCAGAACGGTTCACAGTGCCCACTCCACAGGGAGGCACGAGTAGATCTCCGTCACGGAGTCGGAGCACAAGTCCATTACCACCGCTGGATGTTGACCATCATCGTGACCAGGTCGACGCAGGGCATCACACTGTGGCAGGTACGACTGCGCCTCTGCAATTATATCTGAACCAGGGCATGGCTGGTGATTTATCACTGCAATTCGGTGGCCAGGGACAGCCTGGCGGTGATTTATCACTGCAATTCGGTGGCCAGGGACAGCCTGGCGGTGATTTATCACTGCAATTCGGTGGCCAGGGACAGCCTGGCGGTCTGTCCAGCGGGCATATGCCCCGCGTAGATATACGGATTGCATCTCCATCGCCATTCAACAAAGCACAGCCTCTCCCTCCGCTCGGCAGCAACTCCGCAGGTTAGAAATTTAGTTGTGTTCCTCTAAACAGACTCCATGTCTGCTGTATCTTACCCATCAATTAATGCCGCCGGCATGATAGAAATAGTTGCGTGTGTAGGAAGCAGGGACAGCAGGGGGTGCATTCAGCTTCTCTGTTACATGCGAAATGTTGTGATGTAGTCATACAATCATGTTGCATACTAGTACATGTGCTTCATCATGCATGTCTTGAAAGGCTAAGGCTAGAGTGCCGGCTATATCAAATTGCCTAATGTCATATTGCACCACATGGAGCTTTCTTGTATTGGTTTGAGCTCATCTTGAGTGGACTCTGAGAGCATTATGGTACTCAGTTGCACGGACCAGCGTAATTGGGGAAATTCGATTTAGGAACAGATTTTGGCCAGATTTGGAGTTGTCCAGGATTTAACGCTCATCCAGAAAGGCAGGCTTCCAAGGTGTAGAATTTGATGGCACAAGCATTGGAGTCCTTATCTTACGACTCCAGTTTGTTAATACAACTAGTATGTGTGCTTGTGGAATCATACTATGTTATTAGGGAGTACTAAAAACCTCCCTGCTATACCCGGTGGGTTTAGAACGGTTTTGCATGAATCCTATCCCATATGAACGTTGAGCGGTGATGGCCTTCCTGGCTGGCCGTGTTCTGACACCCCTATCCTAGGGTTACAGTGTCTGTGTGTTCCGGCATGTTGTACTAAACTCCCTATCAGCAGAAGAAAGCGAGGAAGAGGATATGGAGCAAGAAGCTGAACCTGAAGCAAGGTAATGCCATCAGACTGACACAGATCATGCTAATTCATACTCCAATAATTGCAATGGAAGAGGTGCGTATTTGTATAGGGGTGATGACCATAATACCCTCTGTGGAAAGTAACTAAATACGTATGTACATATTGGATCTGATCAACAGAAGCCAAGGTGTCGGACATGCTATAGTCACTATGGTATTGACCATACCTTGTTTCATCTTTGGCACCCATCCTTTGATGAAATGAGATTATTATCGGTATGGTCGGTACCCCATCCTCATGTTGCCTGATGATTGGGAGAGCATGAAACTTGAAGTAGCAGCAAACAAGCCTTGATTGTCCTTGTTGTTCTGTTCTGTATTGGCTCTAAAAAATTTAGAATAGGGCCCGGGCCGACACGTCACTGGCCTACAATAATGGCTGACCATACCATCCTGAAATCCCTCCCATGCCCCTGGTGACCAATAGACATCACAGCCTCTGGCAATGCAATGGCATTCAGAAATCAGACATTAGCAATGAGTAGACAAAGACAACACGGAACCTAAACGGTATGTGTTTGTATGTGTACGGTGTGTTTGTATGTGTGTATATTGGTCTGAACCCAGTCTTTCTCCTCTACCGCCAGCAACAAATGACATCTTTGCGGCACGAGAAGCTTCTCAGAAGGCTCACCAGCAGGAGCGTGAGTAAATCTGCAATATGGTGTGAACTGTTTTTTTTTAGAGCTAGGCGGGAGTTCTGTTGTCACGGAAACTTGAAGGTGTTGGTGAGTGGATGGGTGCGGACCACATCTTCTTTTTCATCAAGTATATATTTGGCTAGAGTTTGTCACCACACAAGATGCCAGGAAAATCTGTTCCAGCGCCATGGTGTTACTGAATGAGATGAAGCACATGCTGATGCATTAAATGGATGAGGGAAATTGGGCAGGAAGGGTGAGATGGGTCACGGAGGGAAGAGGCAGAAGGTAGAGAGGCACAAGAGGGTGTGGGGGGGGGGGGGGAGGTCATGAGAGAGATGCTTGGTGTTGGGGGTGTTTTTGATACTGACAGAGACTGGTTCTGATGTGTTTTGGTGTTTTCCTATCCTGCTATACCTGCTGTGCATTCTAGTCGATGAGCTGAAGGCTAAGTTAGCAGCACTGAAGGGAGAAATGTAAGACGGATATAACGATTCAATCAGATCATTGTGCGCATCACTGAGCCACCATCGATAACATTCTATTTGGACTGTTGTGGATTGCAGGCATGTTATTGCTACACATACTCGTACGTGCCAGTCACCTCGGCTGGATCCTACCCCCTATCTTGTCCTACATGTCACTGAGATGTTGAGATGTTGAGATGTTGAGATGTTGTTGCTGTCATTACTAGAACACAGTCTTAGTATACTGTATACGCCGTACATCAAGGTTGTTGAATGACTATTGAAAGGTGATATTGATGGCGGTGTGGCGGTGGCGGTAATGGTGGTGGCAGTTGACTACATGATTTTGACGTTGCACACCACTCTGCTCTTGCGGCTATCTTCTGCATGCAGAGAACCGAAGGAACAGTACAAACGAGAGCTTCATGAAAAGTCCCAATCCCTGGAAAAGGAACTGCATCGCAAGCAAGCAGCAAGTAAGAGTATAATCTGGTGAAATCGTTCTTTTTCCCCCGGTCTCACTCCTCCTGTTTTATTCTCTCGCTCTTTTTCATTCGGCATGGATCTGTTCGCACAAGCTTGCAACTGCACTAAACACATCTAAGTGACATATTTCAGTCCCTTCAGCTGGACCTTGGTCAGTTGTGACAGGAACCAGCTCCGTGGATCACTCGCTGTAGGTATCCTGTTCATTGTGTAAGTTGTAGTTGGCCACGGTATAATATACTGAGGAGAATATGAAGGTTGCTTCATGATTCTCAGGTGCACACGCCATTATGTTTCCCAGCACATAGTAAGTGCATGTCTTAGCAAATTGACATCACTTGACATGCACCACCTGTTGTAGATTGTGTATGCATTATCTGTCACTCATACTGCCCATCTCATCTCATTTGTTTGTTTCGTTTATTTGAATTCACTTAGACCACAGGCAATTCTGCCTTCTCACCCGAGGAAAAACCTCCGGTCCCTACTAAGAATGAATACAAGTTACTGTAACATATTATGAGAGAAGGAATTATTAAACGAATCATAACATGAGAATTCCAAAGTATATTATTCAAATGGGTGTATGTACATACGTGTAAGCATTTGCGACAAATAAAGTGATGGCTCCACCTGCTTATGTGTGTCACGTTGCAGCGGAAGAGGAATGGAAGAAGAAGTACCTCCAGGAAAAGCGACGAACCATTCCATTGGAGAACAAACTGGATGAACTGAGGAAGAAGTTCGCAGACCTGCACAACAAACCGGCGCAGCAGCGAGGGCGCCAAGCCATGAAAGGTACATGCGTATCAGGCCGGGCAAATCTCCCAATTGTCCGGGCTTGAGTTTAGGCATGCAATGCAACATAACGTGCACAGATAGTTGGTGAATCTTTAGGCCAGTCAGGTTGTTCAGGTGCACTACCTTACCAATCATTGTAGCCTTACGGTACTTCAACTACACAAGCAGGGTACCCCTGGGGCCACTGAATGAACAGTCACTTAGTGCCATTAAAATTACTTGTAACTCGAACATACAACAGGAAGACTAGCAAAAAATTAGCTATAACAACTAAGAGATTCCCATTCTAGCCAATCATCGGGTCTCTGTACCTGGTGTACCATCAGTTACCAGACAATTGCATAGAGAGTGAAACTCAGCTTGAGTTGTGGCTAAATTTCCTCTCTCCGGGTTGTAATACTTCATCTACACAAGAGCAATGTTGTCTGCAGAAGAGGCCTTGAAAGAGTGGTGATGTGAGCTTCATTTTCTTCTTCTTCCGATATGTCAAGCCCATGGGCTCGGTGATGCCGGGGAAACATAGAAAACACTTTGTGTGGCCGGTCTCACATAAACTGGCTCAATAACAGCATGACCTTTCCACACTTTCCTTTCTGTCCTCAATCTTTCCTTCTGTTTGCTCAGATCCAAAGGGTCCATCAGAAGCTGTGAGTACTAGCAGTGTCTCTAGAATCACAATGCATGTATAACAGAAACTGAGAATAATTATGCTGCACACTTGAAGTACCCACTATGTATTTGTCTAATGCTGTGGTTTGATACATGATGTACATGTAGTTTCATGCGCCGCGGTTTGTATGTGTTTGATATTGAGCTTTGAAAGCCATGCGTTTGTCACCTAGTAGGAGTGTGAAACTATCCATTCGTTGTGAACATCTCCGCCACATAGAACTGGCCACTAACTACAATTTCATGTAGATCTACGTCATTATTGTAGGCTAGGAAATCATAGGATACCACCTCACCAAGGATCTAGGAAGGATGTTACAAACTTACAATCATGCTACTACATATGCAGCTCCATTCTGCATTATAGGACAACGGCAAGTATGTAAATAGGCAACACAAGCGTGCTCTGTGGCAGCGAGCTGATCTGTGGTCGGTGATCTTTGACCTTTGAACTTTGACATTTGACCTTTAAACTTTGACCTCTGGGGTGCCAGATCTGTGTATAAAATAGGCTCGTTGTTGACGCATGGTCTAACATTACATACCACCCTCTTGTTTATTCCGCTCTGCCAGAACAACAATCGTGCAATGTTCCAGCGGCAGCAGAAGGAAATCGAAAGGCTGAGACAGCGAGAGGAGACCTTGCGAAATCAACTTGAGGCAGAGCAGAAGGTTAGATCACCTGCGATGTCACATTGTCCTGAAAACTATTTTTTGTACTTTGAAGCACTCTATGCAGAACTATCCCACGTCTGGTGGATAGTGGGGTGAACTCAAATAATTGAATATACTACTTGTGACCACGGCAATGGATCAAGATGCTGATCCAGAGAAGTGTTGGCCGGGCAGAGTATCCTATGACAACTCAAGTTTCTCCAATCCCATGGATTTGCTGGGCTCATAACACCTTCCATTGGGGGAGATCAAGATGCGTACATACACGTGCCGGTATTTTTTTTTTTACAAACTAGTAGGTCAGGTAGGTTTAGATGTCATTTTTTCTGTGTATCTTGCGGTGCTGATGAGTAGATCACCAATGCAAACAGTATCGAAACCAGTATCGACTAACAGTTGCTTGACTGTGGCAGTAGGCCCCATACAGCCTGACATGTTGGGGTAAGAACTATCTTTGCTTCGTGTTTTCCGTCTCAGGCACGTGCCCAGATGGCTCAGGAATGCAAGCAGCTTCGCGAGGAGCTGATGGACAAGAAAATCACCAAAACGCTCATCAAGAAGCCATAGCTGAATACAGAACCCAATTGAGAGTTGATACCGTATATGCCCGTTGCAATACATTGTCAATGGGATTAGCTTCAATGGAAGCTCCCACTCCCAGCACAAACACTGTGATGACTAGCTGGTCATGGACTTTACCTAAAACACTAGCTGCTCGGTCTAGTGATTTCTATCATCTCACTGTGCTAGTGTCAGATGTCTGGGCCAATTACAATGAGCCTGGTGCTCCTTTCAGTCTGCGACCTCTCCAATTGTGCAATGGCCGGCGCAATTCTACCTTGGAGTTCTCGGACAGTGTGCTGCTCTCAAGTATAGACTGAGGTCTGCTGACTCGACTTCTGTGCAGATCATGCCAAGTGGTCGTGCTGTATTATCAGCACTAACTAGCAAGCTGCTCCCGGAACAGGCACGCTTTGCAGTGACATAATATTTGCTGTTCCAGCAAGTGTTGCCAAGTGAAATTTTTACAAAAAATCATGCCTAAGCATGCCTGTCTGGCTCATATCCCAGGACTTGATTTAGTACAATGCACTGTCATGGTATCTATCTCTCTACTTTGCTTGGTATCTTAGCACAGCAAAGCGGCGGCATGTCCTTGATGCATGCATAGTACATGTACAGTATTGCTCATGGAAATCCGATCGATTGAATCAAGTATACGTGCCGGGCGCTGCACAGCACTATGACCTGCGAATACTGGGCTCTGAACTGGCGCAGAGCCCAAATTTGACTTGCATGATCGGATTTCATTGAACACCGCTGTATATGTGTCGAAGAAGTATGATGGTCTCACAGCTTCGCCCGTGATCACTGAGCTCTGACTTCATGGCTGAGCTCTCCTCCCCCCCCCCCCCCCCCCCCCCTATACATGTAAGATTGCATGCTTATGCAGTGGAATGCTGCAATACCTGAATCTTCAGCTACTTGTCTTTGCTCAGCCGTATCACGGACTGTTTACTGATTTATCCCACAGACCTCTGGCCGTCTCGCTCACTGGAGCCTGAAAGGGAGGGGCATGAAAGAAGTAACCATAGTTTTTCTAACCAGTATTGAAGAAGTAATCCAAGACATAGCGGAGCGGCATACGCGTATACGGTACCCCTCCTCCTTCTCCTCTCTTGGGGGGGGGGGGGGGGGGGTAATAGAGGTGTGGGTTAGAACGTGTTACTGCAGCGCTACTCAATATGACGCTACGTAACAAGTGCAATGTCATGTACATGTATGTTCTGCTATACTGTGATTTACTGCAATGTAGATCTACGAGACTCAAAATTTTGGTTGTGTCACGTCGGCATCAGTACTACAGTGCTGGCAACTGAAATCTGCCCCCCTGAGCGGTGGGTTCACATTCTTTGCGATGTGAGCGCACTGCTCCGGGGGTCGGATTTCACTTGCCAGCACTGTCTGTAGTACATTACATGACTACAGTATGTTCGTAGATCTACTGTTCGTCACAGATGCCTCCGGCGAAATGTGGCGGTGCTTGCATGCACGTGCTTTTTCTACATGTCTTCGCTTGGAAAAGGATGAAAAGGAAAAAAATAAAGTTCGTATCTCCCAAAGACGAAAAACTAAATTCGGAGGGCTGGTGATTTCTCAAAGAAACATAGAAAGGTACAAACTGATAGAGTTTGCGCCTCAGTCATGGCTGCTGTGATATTAGGGGCAATCCCCGTGGGTGGTGAATGCAGTGAAGTTGCTGTAGTCGTGGGAAAGAAGACTGCACTCATCCTTCCAATCACCATCACGTAAGTCTTGACTGCAGCGAACATAGTAATTATTATCTTACGAGTGTGCATTATGATTCATTTCAATTAATTATGATTATTAAGGTGTACGTTCTGTAGCCAAGCGAATTTCAACTTTGGTCTCCCACTAGGAGAGCATCGGACGATAGCCAATGTATTGGTGAATTATAATAATTGAGACTACTGCAATTTAGTGGTTGAGTTTATGATGGGCATGAATGCACGATCGCAAGAGAAGCACACCAATCTGTAAATGCACTGGATGTACACACGCAGATTTTCTCTTATAGCAACTATAGTAGACAAGGTCTGAATGAAACAGATCAAGAATAGTGCCAGATAACTGCCCAATCCACACAACTGGCAAAGCCGTAATTATGACTTTGCCCTCAATGCACATCTGGTCTACACCACACGCAGCGCATCGAAGTACACACGCGTACACACACACACACACACACACACACACACACTCATTCCAATAAACAATGCTATCGGATGTATGTAGTAGATCGGATTTAGCTGAAATTTTTAGTTGTAGATACCGGTACATCAGCTTTATTTGAGAACTGAGCTTGAGTCTGTATTTCACACCCCCAAAGCTACTACTACTGACCAGTCTTTGTAAGAACTGGTGGATGTGGTTTTGATGACCGACAATGTTTGTGATATGCTGGACTTTCCACCACTCAGTGACAACGCACTGGAGAGATGCGGAGAAGTGGTGAAACTGTCGCTCCAAGAGGCGGATGCCAAGCCAGTAGCTGTGCAGACGGCTGCATCGGCTAGCAATGTGAAAACCGACGACAATGGAGAGGAGACTGCGGCGGAAGAGGGTCAAGGGCGCCACACGGTAGCGTCAGCTGCATTCAGCTCCTCTGGCCAGCTGCTGGCGGTGTGTGGCGATGGCCGCAACGTGAATGTATTCTGCACCACATCATGGACCAAGGTTCACCACTGGTACGTGTATGCAGGATCATTATTGGGCCATGGTTCTGCTGTGTGAGTTTGTACTGCTGATGTAGACAATGATATTGTCTTCATAAGCAGTGCATACTCACATGATAATTATTTACTATGTTGTAGTAAATGTACTCGCACAAGAAACTTCTTTTGTCTAGTGTCTAGTGCCAGTGTATTTACATGATGTATTCTCATCCTCTCTGCTGTGTCATTGTGTGCTGTGTTCACTCATTACGTCAGTCTCATTTGACATACAATTGTGCAATAGGCCCTATGTTGACTGTGTGTCTATGTTGTCTGTGTGCCTGTGTGTATACATTTTACTGACGTTATTATACTTATAGTACAGCGGTCTGCACCTGCCTACTTGACAACATCCTCTTGTATCTCTGCTGTCTGTTCTCATGCAGGCCGGCCAAGCGTCGTGTGTGCACACTCCGCTTCTCTAGCCACGGGGAGGATCTACTTCTAGCCGATAAGACTGGTGACATTTATCGGTGAGTGCTTGCGGAAAAAGAAAATTCTGCCCGACATCAAGCACTAGATCCGAACACAGCCACGGAGCAGTACCGGTACTTGCCATGAGGTCATGTGCGTTATGCTGTAGATATTAGGTGACATGGTAATGAAGGCTGTATTGCTGGTTTGCTCATCAGTTTGAGGGAGTTGAAGGTTGAGTCTAGATTTATCCTGCAGTGGAAAAAAGTTCTAGGGTGTGTGTGTGTAGTCCATTGGCAAGGTGGTGAAGAAATTTGTTTCTTCTTTCTTTCATTTTGCTTTCATGTCTTCACGTTTTGCTGTTTGGGGCAAAACAATTAAACTGGGGATGTATTTGTGTTTTCAGAAGTGTTTTTGATTTGACATGTTATCAGGATAAAGTCACGTCAATAAGCAATGCCTTGTTTGCCTATGCTTTGTCGCAAGGTTCAAATGTCGTGAGGAATTCTCGGAGTCGGGAGAACTCATCCTGGGTCACATCTCCGTTCTGCTGGACATCGTAAGTGTAATTGTATGACAATTGTGTACGCATGTGTGGGTGGGGGAAGGTGCACATGCATGTGGGTGGACATGTGAGAGACAGGCAGCCAGGCAGGCAGGCAGACAGAAAGACATCCATAAGAAAAGAGCAGGGAATATGGTACTTCAAGTATAAAACATGCCCACTTGTGTATAAAACTAAGCCACATTTCTGTCTGTTTGTGCTCAGGGCATCTCATTGGACAACAGACACATCTTCTCCTGTGATCGGGATGACAAGATTCGTGTCAGCCGATACCCCAATGCATACAACATTGAAGCTTTCTGCCTCGGACACACCCAGTAAGGATTTGTTTAGTTGGCATCAGGATACACAGATGCAGTGAATCGGGATCTTCTTTTCGCATAGTGTCTGTGCTGGTGGCGGTAACCCACGTCTGTACTGCAATGAAGTGACGGTGTTTGGCAACATGCAGGACTTTCCAGGTTGCTCACGAGATGAGGCGTTGCTCAGCGATGATTATAGTATTGATAGTCCCCACAAATCTTTTCTAGAACTTCTCAAAATATTGCGGATGTTCTCTGTTCTCTGTCCTCTTTCAGATTTGTCAGTTGCATCGCCACCTCTGCCAAATACCCAGAGTGTATCTTCTCTGGCTCAGGGGTGAGTGAATGCACTATACATGACAACCAGTGCATGTACTGGTGTAGCTGCTGTGCAGTTTTGTCAGTGACGTGTTGTACTGTTGTGGCCGTTGAAATCCGCTGAGAAGTTGAGTGGCCACGGGGCGCTGGCCTTGCAGCCGCGAGCACTGCTGGTCTATTGTTGCAGTGTGTACATGAACTACTGTGCTGGAATACTCCATCTCTGCGGTAGTGCATTTGTACTTGCATGAATCTGTAGCCTTACACAGTGTGTAGTATGTCACGCATGACCGCATGACTAAAACCAGTGTGCATTGATACCCTTTGCCGCTGGCTCCAGTACGGTGGGTCAGTTTTCGCACTCCTTTGTTATTCCCGCACCTGTCACTGCACTGCCCTTCCTCCGTGACCCGGAGCTGTTGCGAGCGCTCATGTTTCCTTTGCGTCTCCTTCGGAGCGCTTTCCTGCTCTCCGTGTCTCTTTGCATCGCTGCACTTTGGCTGCCGCTGTTTGCAAGCAGCTCCTTTATATTCACATGTTCCGTGCTTTATTTGTTAGTGTTTTGAGAGATTTAGAGATGTAGAGTTAGACCTACGAGAGGTAGAGTGAGTCTAGAGTTTGCCCGCGCTGCTTGGAATTTGTTGTTTCGCAGCTCAGAGTTTTGCTTGTATTTTCAGAGTTTCGTGGTTCACAGATGTCCCTCGTTCTTCACAGTATATCAGTTTGTTCTCAACAGTGAGATTCAGTACCAGAGTGTAACATAGTGGTCCTTCGAGCCGGATTTCTCTTCGTCGTTCTTCACCTTCAGTCATGAGTCAGGATCGAAGGATAAGCTCGAGGGCGACGAAAGGGAGAAAACCGAGCAGGTACAGGTCGTTAGAAGATGCCAGTGTTCAGGTCAGTCCAGAGCAGAGCGTAGCCATACGAGAGAGGAAACGCGCTGAGGCTGAGCTGAAAGCAGCTAGAGCGATCGCAGAGTTACAGTTGGAAGTGACTAGGAAACAACTTCAGCTGGAGCAGGCGCAGGCAGATGAGGAGCTTGCTCTCCGAGCCCCAGGACGCTCACCGGTACCCAGTGGCGCTGTTGGCAGTGTTGTATCAGAAAGCGAGGTACTTAGTAGAACGAGAAGAAGTGCTCCAAGTCCACAACGACGACGTGATTGTATGTCAGACGGTGGTTTGCCTGGACAGTGGGAGCTGAGTAGAGCTCACGGTAGTTTGTTGCAGAAACAGCTCATTATCCCAGAGAGGGGGTTGAGTAGCAGCAGCAGTGCAGAGCCAGCTTCTACTAGTACTAGTTCTAGTTCTTCCAGTGCAGTGGTTCTGAAAGTGACACAGCTACAGGCAATCTTGGTGACAGGTACTAGGTCTGACCACCAAAGCTTGTCGTTTCATGGAGGTCCTTCCCCTGGTGCACTGTATGCTGCACAGTCAAGTACACCTGCACGCTTGAGCGCACTAGTGAGTGCACCAGTGTCTGTGGGTCAGAGTTTACCAGCACCAGTGAGTGCACAGGCAGCAGCACCAGTGAGTGCACCAGCACCAGTGAGTGCACAGGCAGCAGCACCAGTGAGTGTACCAGCACCAGTGAGTGCCCCAGCAGCAGTGAGTGCACAGGCAGCAGCACCAGTGAGTGCCCCAGCACCAGTGAGTGCACAGGCAGCAGCACCAGTGAGTGCCCCAGCACCAGTGAGTGCACAGGCAGCAGCACCAGTGAGTGCACAGGCAGCAGCACCAGTGAGTGCACCAGCACCAATGAGTGCACCAGCACCAGTGAGTGCACCAGCACCAGTGAGTGCACCAGCACCAGTGAGTGCACCAGCACCAGTGAGTGCACCAGCACCAGTGAGTGCACCAGCACCAGTGAGTGCACAGGCACCAGCATTACCCAGGGGTACTACTAATAGTAGGAGCAGACTCACAGCTAAGACAACCAGGACTGCATTGGCAGGGATGCCTGCACCAGCACCAGTGAATGTACCTGCTATGTCCATATTGTCTGGGCAACCTCCTGCAGTGGCTAGTACGTCAGTGCCTGTAGAGCGAAGGTTCACTAAGCTGAAAAGCACACAGCCAATGGAGTCCCAGCCTCGAGTGACGCAGGCACCCACACTGGATCCAGCAGCTCCTGCGTTTCGTCCCTACCAGGCGCCGCCCAGCCACACCTACCAGACCCAGTATGGTCACGCATTTCCACCTGCCAGCTTCTTCCACGTCAAGCCACTGGGGCTGCCGAAGTTTTCTGGAATACCTGGAGACTACGACCGATGGAGGCAGCACTTCAGGCATGTTGTGGAAGAAGACGCACTCACTTCAAAGACCTACAAGCTGGCTCAGCTGAGTGAACGCTGATGAGCACCCGAGCAGAGATCCCCGCAAGCGTTGGCTATACGTGCAACGGCTGGTAGCTGACGTGTGGAAGAGATGGCTGGAAGAGTTCGTCCCGCTACTGAATGTTCGACGCAAGTGGCAACAGAAGGGCAAGAATGTTGCAGTGGGCGACATTGTGCTGAGCCTGACGTCGGCAACTCCTCGGGGCACCTGGCCTATGGGCAGAGTATCAGCAGTGTTTCCTGGTCCTGACAAGTTAGTCCGTGTGGTCCACGTCACCGTAGGCGGCAAAGTCTACCGCCAATCTATTCACCACCTTGTCCCCTTGCTGGATGCAGATCAGTAAGACCGTGATGTTATAGCCAGAGAAACTGTGGTGTAATTCATGATAACACGTTAGCAATGTTCTTTGCTTTTGCTTAGTATCTTAGCATAGTAGGTGTACTCACTCGTTGGCGCATTTTACCCGCCACTCCTGAGTGAAGGGGGATATGTGCTGGAATACTCCATCTCTGCGGTAGTGCATTTGTACTTGCATGAATCTGTAGCCTTACACAGTGTGTAGTATGTCACGCATGACCGCATGACTAAAACCAGTGTGCATTGATACCCTTTGCCGCTGGCTCCAGTACGGTGGGTCAGTTTTCGCACTCCTTTGTTATTCCCGCACCTGTCACTGCACTGCCCTTCCTCCGTGACCCGGAGCTGTTGCGAGCGCTCATGTTTCCTTTGCGTCTCCTTCGGAGCGCTTTCCTGCTCTCCGTGTCTCTTTGCATCGCTGCACTTTGGCTGCCGCTGTTTGCAAGCAGCTCCTTTATATTCACATGTTCCGTGCTTTATTTGTTAGTGTTTTGAGAGATTTAGAGATGTAGAGTTAGACCTACGAGAGGTAGAGTGAGTCTAGAGTTTGCCCGCGCTGCTTGGAATTTGTTGTTTCGCAGCTCAGAGTTTTGCTTGTATTTTCAGAGTTTCGTGGTTCACAGATGTCCCTCGTTCTTCACAGTATATCAGTTTGTTCTCAACAGTGAGATTCAGTACCAGAGTGTAACAACTACAGTGCATGTACACGCTGAAAGCAGTAAGGGTGCCAGCCCCGGTCATCCCATCAGATTCCGATACCCACGACAGTAGTTAGTTGTTGTTGTACAAGCTAGGAAGCAGTGAGCAGATTGCTTCAAAAGTTGTTATTTGAGACTGGATTGTTCACCCACCCATGCAGTTGCCAACTTTAATATCAGCATTTGTGTTGAGGTTTGTAGTGCTTTGATTTCCTCCCTTTTCTGTGATCTTAGGATAGCAGCATCATTATGTGGCAGTATCGATCTGGATCATTGCTGTCCAAGCTCGAGTTACCGGAGAAAGAGGTGAGTTTCATTGCTACCACTTCAGCTAGCATTCGTGTGGCAGTGTCCATTGGTTTGTGTTTGCAGCAGAGGTTGGGAGAGGGCCCTATTGTTCGCAGAGAGGGGGGGGGGGCTGAAGTTGCAATCTATTTCAGAGATGCACAACATTGCGTCGGTTCAACATGTTGTTGAGAACATTGTGGTGGCGGCACAGGTGTGGTATACTCTTGTACAAGGGGAGATGGCATGGTTAGCTCTCCTTGTATGGGTATATATACGTCTTGGGCGCACACTAGTGCAGACCTACCCTATACATGTAATCCCTGCACTGTGGTAATGGAACCTTGCTGTGCGTGTGTTTTGTGTAGCCTGTTTGTGTCCTGGCCGGATCATCAACTGGATGCATTGCTGCTGCTCAGGAGAAGTAAGAAAGAAGTCGTTGTCGATGAAACTCTGATGGTGGCATGCCCACATGTTCACTTCTCTCGTATAACTATTTACAAATAGTCCCCTCCGCTTCTGCACTCTGTTTGAAGTTGTGCGTGTGTGTGTGTGTGTGTGCACGTGTATGTATGTGTTGTAGGTCTTTACTGATTCATATCGTAGCGGTAGATGACGGGTCTCTTCGGATCCGCCAATCCATCGCCGTGCAGCACACCGTGGTGAGCATGTCGTTCAGTCAAGACGCCAACACACTGTGGGTTGCAGTGAATAACCCTGAACAGCCTCTGCTTGTCTTCAATACAGCAGTCGCTAGTGATACAGAGGTGAGCGAGCAGGATTTACAGGGGTTGCGTGCTATGCCGTGCGTGTACTCTGACTAGTGATAGGTACTTGAGCAGTAGCTCTGTGCCACCCCTTTCTTTGTAGTCATTGTGCTATCCAGATCTGCAATCCATTGTTGGGTAGTGGGTACACAGCTTGTTGTTTCCGTGTTCTATTGCTTGTGCGTGCAGGTGAAAATGGCTACCCTCCAGCCGTTGTTACAAGAGTCTCTGGCAGATACCAAAGGCCCTCTTGAAGGTTGGTTTAATCTCTCCCCTTTGACTGTGCAGTCAAAGGAACGACGAGGCATCGGATCAATTTGTTTGATTTATGGGGGGGGGGCTCTTATTTTCTGTACCTGGTGTTATTAAAAAATGGTAGTGTCAGAACACCAACATCGAAGTATCATTCTTATAACAAATGTTCTTAGTTGAGTACTGGCAGTTGTCTGACTCACTCTAGGCATGAGCATCAGCATAACGATATCAAATGGCAGGATAGGAGGACGATAGAGAGCCTTCACCGACCGCCGGTTGCTAACATGGCCGTGTACACAGTAGTCAGTAGTCCATCAGCTCTATCAAGAACAAAGTATAGGCTTGTGCTACACTCACCTTCCAAGGACAAGCAGCTGTGGCCAACATCGGGACAACTTGTTGGCGAGCATGAGTCCCTTTGTTGGACATGCCGAATTCAGTGCAATGGTTTGGATTGAGGTCTTCTCTCATTGCTGCATGTTGTTCCCATGGTTACTGGACCATCACTAACATACTTGTGTTGTCAAATATCTTATAGGATTTGCCTTGTGTGTTTCTTTTTTTCTTTTCTTTTTCGTGTGTTCAGGTTCCCTCCACTGTCGTCTTGACATAGAGATGCTTTCCAAAGACCCAATGGATGGGATGCATCGCTACTTTGAGCGCAAGCAGGAGCGCCTGCAAGGTGCGACAGTTGGCGCAAGATGAACGTGTCCTTTCCTAACTCTATATGGATGAATGCCACACATACGCAGGTGCAGGTGAAACACAAAACTGCCTCATATTCAGCAACTGTGAGTTGAGCTCTTCAGATCATGGAGACTCAAGTTTCAGGATAGTGCCCCTCACTCAGTCACGGAGCATTTTTTAGCATTCTCTGCTACATCGAAGTTTCAGTGTACCCGAAGATTATTCTTTGAGGATAGATGCATACAAGTGGTTATTTTGCCATATTCCAGTCAAGGTACTTTGAAGTAGATAGTCGACTTATTTTGCTTTCTTGAAGTGGAACTGGCCGTAGTGTCTACTCAATTTCCTGATGAGATTCACGATGCTGGGTACTATTATGGCGTATGCCCTGAGTGTACGCAGCCGTGCTTACCGCTACATGTGCTTCTAAGTATGACCAGCCACTGCAAGGACACTGTGCAGGTTATGTCCTGGTCTACAGTTTTCACTCTACGTGTCTGTCAAACTATTGCTAGCCTGAGGTTGAGATGATCAAACAGTGAAATGAGAATCTCATTTTCCAAGAGTCTGTGTCCCGTGTCCTCGCGTGAATCCCTCCCACTGATCCTTTGGATGCACCGGGACCACAGGAGTAAACAATGTATCACTGTGAGTAAGTTCTACATCAAGTGGCCGGATTACATCAAGTGGCCAGGGAGCCATTCAACCAAACCCCACACACTTGCACAGTCACACACATCTTCCAATCATATCAAGACTCCTGGCCTGGAAGCTTGCTGCTGGAAGGGGGGGGGGGGGGCATGACCGTCTGTGATGACGAAAAAGGACACACCGTATCATTATGCTATGCTGACATTTTTGAGGACGGGTTTGAGTGCATGAGTACAGGCAAGTTATGTGATGAAGGTAGCACTGACCCATAATTATTATGTTTATAATTCGCACAGTTGCCTACTCTTGGTTATGGACTTTTCAAGTTATCGCACAGTTGGAGAGTGATATACACTGTACCCGTACTACAATGTAAGCTTATCGCACTCGCAGAGAGCAATAAGCTGTGTTCACAGTACAGTAGAATACTGTGTGGAAAAGTGAAGAAAAAAGTATGGTGTGTAATTCGAAGGTCCTGCTCGAACCTTTTCCATGTACCGATTTTTACACTTTCACATCCTACACTAGTCTTACACAATAGATCTACATGACTGTACAGAACTTGAGTTGAGAAGATCTGCATTTAGCAGAATTTTTCCAGTTTTTACTCATTGCTTCATGGATGTTTTTTTTCTGTTTTGGACCGGGCTCTTGGTTTGGATGACGGCTTCATCTTGTCTTCTTGATGCTTACGGTGGTAGCACACCACCGGCACGCTGCTAGCTGCTACTGTCTGCAGATCAAACGAGTTTACACAACGGGATAGCCATTAATATTAGGCATGGAGCCGGTTTAGGCCATTTAGAGCAATGTCCTTCCTTGAAGCCTGCCTCGTGTTGACCATTGCTTTTCGTTCGACCGAAACAAGGACAGTGTAGACTCTACCCTGTTTTCCCGTCGCGGCACTGGTGACCAGGTGACTCGCTCTTTTTGGGAGGGATGCTGGAGTGACGCTCTGCTCTGTGGCTTGGCAAGATGCAGATTCGGTCTTCCGGAGAACACTTATAAGTTATAATATATTGTTATGTAAGTTACTTTGCTGGTGGTGAGGCTGGTGTCCCGGCCGGAATATCTTGCGCTGTGACTGGTTCATCTTCGACCTTTCGACATGTGGACAGCGTCAGTGGAGGGGAACGATGTGTCGTCGGCTCCGAGAAGTGACACTCCGACTTCTGAGCAAGCCTCGTCATGTATGGTATCATATCATGGTATCATGGAGTCGCTAATAGCGGTACAGTGACAGGAAAGTCGGGCTGTCGAAACTCACTTGACGAAAGAGCTCTTGTGTTGAGTCTTGTCTTGACATGCTCGGATCGAATCAACACTGGCTCTCGGCCTCAGCTCAGACAGCAGATGTGGAGACGCACTCAGGTAAGTGAACCAACATACTAGTAATCATTGAGGATCCATAGTCAGAGAATCCACAGTCAGGGCCGTAGGCGTAGCATGCGATGTCAGCCGCGGTCCCCCCCCCCCCCTGGCCTGCTTTATCCAATGGCCATGAGATAGTTTTACAGCTGTACGACTGGCACTTACATCAGGCCATGGAGACCCTTCCGGGAAAACAGCTCCAGTCACAGTGCAAGTGATCATGTCCTGAACAAGTCTTGTTTCCCCGCCCGCTCACTGTGTGAGTGCCTGTGTCCAGTGTGGGCATAATGATGACAGTATTGTTGTAACTTACTTGTACCCCCTCGGTCATGTTCGTCTTGGTGCGTCTTGTAAAAAAAGAAGAAGAAAAATAGGGGCGCATCGGCCAGAAAAGGTCACTTCGACCTGCCGTGTGGTGTAGACCAGGAAAAAGTAATAGTTAGTGGCGGTCAATTCATCAGCCTTGCAAGCTGTTGAATGGTGTAATCCCAGCACAAGTTGCTATGTCTAACATAGCTTGTTCGCTATCGTCGCTTACAAGCCAAAGGTCTGCTCGCTCCGTCACGCAGAGCCCGTCAAATAGTGCACTCCATAGCCTACTTCAGCCGCTGCGCACAAATTCTTCAAACTGCTAAAAACGGCTACGGAGGAGAACCTTACCATGAACCCATCTAAACTAATTCGAGGGCTCTGAACACGATGGTGACTCGGTCATTGACGGGCAAGGTAGCTGAGATGCCGAAAGTTCGCTTTGAAAACTAAAAATACGGAGCGATATATCCAAAAATCGATGACTCTTGACATGCGACACACCGTTGGAAAGCTATTCGTGTGTGCTTGCCCATCATGTAAAAATCGAAGGCGCTGGGCACATGAATAACGCGTAGGCAGGCGTAGAACGTCGAGAGAAAAATTGTTCCGTGCACGCCATGCTTGCACCATGCATTCGTGCGACGAAGGATTTCTGCCTTTTGGTCACGTGATTGAAGTCGCTACTAGTAGCTTGATGGACGTTGAAATGCAGGATTTGGTTTGCGAGTACTCGGAGTAGTGCTGTAGCACTGTAGCACTGTGTGCACACCTGCCGGTCATGATGTACTTCGAAGTACCTTTGTAAACGGCACTGATGCAATAGACCCATTGCGCAATGACGTAATTTGTACCATAAACACCCTTCACAGCCACCTGAGGGGGGGGGGGGGGTCGTCTGGGGTGTTGAACAGTGCACTCCTGATCCCAACATACTCACAAGCATTACTCATGCATTCCATATATGGCTGTGAAGGGTGTTTTTACGTCATTGCGCAATGGGTCCATTAGTTGTCTCTTCCGTTGGAGACTAAACAGGTCACAAATCCGGAAATTGAACTCACTACAAAACACGTGAAGACGTTGGACTTTGCACACGCTACTTGGACCACCTAGCCCAGCTATTGGTCTCTGGAGTGAGTGTCTATACGGCTATAACACGGTGCAGTGACTGTCTGTTGCATACAGTCAACTTTGCTGGTAACGACTGCGGATATAACGACAATTAACGAATTACGACAGAATTTTCATGCCCAGAGCAAAGTCCCATCCAACTGTAACACATATAATGAGACTTCGGGTATAACTGCACTTCGCGGATATAACCACACTTTTCTGATGCCCCGCCGAGTGTCGTTATAAGCGAAGTTGACTGTAGATTGTGATTTGTGAAGTAACAACAGTCAAGAGTATGCCCTGCTGCACATTGTCACAGAGCATACAATGTGTGTGTTTGGTAGCACATTGTCACAGAGCATACAATGTGTGTGTTTGGTAGCACATTGTCACAGAGCATACAATGTGTGTTTGGTAGCACATTGTCACAGAGCATACAATGTGTGTTAGCACTAGCAGGATTCGCTTAGGACAGAATGGAGACAGCTGCTGTATCCTCTAGCGTAGCTGTTTGTCAGAATATGACATCGTGGCTTCTCAAAGGACTTTCCCCATCATCCCTGCGCAGTCACGCACATGGTATCATCGCGGCTTGCGCAACACTGATTGTCACTGCTACTACTAGTACTAGACACTGCACTGCATGCTCCCAGTCATATCTACAGGCTGATAGGTTTGCAGAATCTTGCCATCAGCATAGTCACCATCAGGGAGTAGCACAATAGTATTGTACTACTCCTTTGTCATCATCACTGGTCTGCAGCGCATTGTTATCATGATGGCTGCTACCAGATGTACATGTATCAGTCACATTATGCTCTCCAATCTACCATGTAGCTTTGGCACACACTCACTGCAGAAGCTGTGCCGGTGCAACATGATTGTCATGTCTTGACAGTTGATTTATCTACTATTGTCCAGATACATGTATAGGTGGCCTGACATAATTTGAGATCTACACTACACTGTGTGATCCTGACAGCAATGACATTTGGGGGAATGTTGTTGGCTTCCAAGAAAAAAACACTTTTGCATTTCCTGGTCACAAGTTGAAGTGGCAGCATGCAAGTGTGTGCCTAGCGAGGAGAAATGAGTACTCTCGACCTTGTTGACATGCAGAAAGTAGTCAAAGTAGCTGCTATTGACAGGCTTGGTCCCAGGACACTACTCACTAAATACATTGGCCCGGGTCTATTATAACCTTGTGTAATTCATCTTAGCTGCCACAATCCACTTGTTGATCATTCTGATAACAGCCTCTTTTCCACTTTCTTTCTTGTCCCTGGGTCCCTGTGCTCATTGGTTTCCCCATTTAGTGAGCAAAGGACGCTTATCGGCCATTAGTACGGTGTTCCATTCGCTGTACATGTACGTATATGTGCCTGTGGTGTACCTCAGCATAGTGCATTTACATTGACCATTGCATGTAGCAATAAACCGAGCTACAGAATCACACTGCACTGTCTTCACTGCAACCGAGTCTGGGTGTAACCGGCTTAGCGTTGTACAGGTGAGGTGTTCCCCGGTGGAGATCATGCAGAGGCATAGGCGTGCAAGCACGAGTGGCGGGCGGCCGCCACCTACATCATTTGATCTTGGCTACCCGTGCTGTGATGAGATGCCCAACGGCACTCCGTACCTGACAGGTGAGTGATTTTTTAAAGTGTGTGTGTGCGTGTGTTTGTTTGTTGGTGTGTACAGTAAATGCAAACTAATCCCAATAATGTAATGGCGAGTGCATATGATGAGATTAAACTAGGATGAAGAGCCAAGGGTTAAAATTTAAAAAAAGATAGGACCATTTGTGTGCTAATTGTTGCACATTCTGACTCACCATTACCTTGCTTATAATCGTTAGTGTTGGTCACAACGGGTAACTAACTTGTAAGCGTATGATGAGGTGCAGCATTACAGAAAAACCTGAGAAGGAAAGAAAATAGAAAAGGCCGACCGGGGAGCACACACACACACACGCGCACACACACACACACACACACACACGTGTGCGCGCGCACACACACACATATCGCAGGTGTTACTGAGTACCGTAGTGTCGCGTATAGAAGCATGAATTGAATAGAAGCCGATTTTTCGAAGCGCGCCGTGACGCAGAAGCACGATTTGAATAGAAGTCACTCTCTACAAAGTACATGTGCAAGTACACGCGTGGCAGTATGCACTGCACAGTGTAGACTGATGATGTTGATGTAGAAGCATGTGTTGAATAGAAGCATACCTTGAATAGAAGCATGGTTTGAACCCCGGCTTACACGGCCGTAATCACCTACTTTTATACGCGACATTACGGTACTCAAATCTCAATGCGCAATGCTACCGTGGCTGCCACTGAAACGCGGAATCACCCTCAGATACGAAGATACTGTCAGGAAGTACAGTTACGCTCACTGAAATCCGACCCGAAGTGCAAAGCTGACACTCTGGACCAGTTCCGATTACATCACTGTACTGGTGCATGTGTACGTTCGGCCGCGGCATTCATACCACTTCCAGGGTGTCAAGCATTCATACCACTTCCAGGGTGTCAAGCATTCATACCACTTCCAGGGTGTCAAGCATTCATACCACTTCCAGGGTGTCGAGGGCCGTGCAAGTGGAGGGCGCGAAATACGCACTCTGGGTCGGACTTCACCCAGCACAACTGTACCAAAAGGCTGCTCAGCATAGGCTCTTTGTGCCGCAAATGTTTGAAAACGTATCGTCCCGAATGGTTGTGTTCATGTCAATTTGTACGCCCTAGGTACAAAGGATCTCAATGGCCGTGCATTCATCACGGTGCCATCGAGTGTGACAGTGGAGGAGGCTGGCTCTAGCATGCTGACCGGGCGCCTGGACTACCTTGTGCACGTCAGCAAAGAGATGTTCCCCATCGATACACTCCAGTATGTGCCATACTATGTGGAGAACTTACTCCGGCCTGGTGCTGGATGTATTGCCACTCACTATGAACTTACTCCGGCCTGGTGCTGGATGTATCGCCACTCACTATGAACTTACTCCGGCCTGGTGCTGGATGTATTGCCACTCACTATGAACTTACTCCGGCCTGGTGCTGGATGTATTGCCACTCACTATGAACACGTGGCATGATTTCTGAACACTGTGAACAGTGACTACACTGAAAGCTGAATGTACGTGCTCTGGCCTTGGAGGATTTTTACTTTTTAGAAATGTTTGTTGTTCCCCATTGGTGGGCTTTTCCTGCCGACTTGATTTTGCACTTGATTGACTCACGACTGCCGTCCAGAGCACACACAGAGTCTATCAAACCCGTAAGTTCCTCTCCTGGCTCAAGCCTGCAAGAAAATATTCAGGAAGTCTTTCCACCACATGTATAAGGGTCACCAAAGTTTCCACCCCATATTTACTGCTCTGACCGTTTCTTCATAATTGCAACACCATGTGATATCAACATACAGCTGTTGGGATGTGTTCTTCAGACATGATTGGCTTTAAACTATATCAGTGCTGGCAGCTGCTTTTCTTTCCATGTGTTAACTGCTCCAGGATGGCTGCCTATGTGGAAGTAGTCGGAATTGAAATGGAATCTTTGGAGATCATTGCCCTTGGCCTTCATGCATTGCAAGTATGTGGCAAGGATCAATATGGTTTGCAGTGTTGTTCACGATTCCTAACCATCAGTAGGAAGTGTAGCCGTGTGTTGGTTATTCGAACGCCTCAGGACCAGATCCTGTTGGGATACATGAATAAGTTCAGTTTTACTTGTAAAAGGAGGCTTGGGCATCTATTCCTAACCTGAACGATCATATGTTTTGCCATCCGTCTTCACTTGCAGCTAAAACTGCGTGATGACATCACCATCGACGTGTACTTCTATTTCTCCGAGTCCAGCGTGGCTGATGTCGACAAACTGTGCACGCTATTGTACGACGTTCTGCCTGCACCATTTGATCAGGTATGCATGCTGGCATGTTATACCCACTCTGATTCACCAGGTATGCATGCTGGCATATTATTCACACTCAGATTGACCAGGTATGCATGCTGGCATATTATTCACACTCAGATTGACCTCTTGCACAACTGTACTAGTATGTCTGCCTGTTCGTCTCTTGGTGTGTATGTGTGTACATGACAACCCGTTGCGGCATGTTTCTTCAGCACCAGTGTGTGGTCGGCGCGGAAAACATGGACCGGTACATTGAGCCTAGCCAGCGCACGTGTCATCTCGGAGGCACGCTAGGCTTAGACTTTGACGGTTGGATTCAATGGCGGATGGTAGGTGCATAATTGGAGATGTATGTCTTTTGACGAATAAAACGGAGAGGTTCCAGGCTGTCCAAGAGAGTGCTCAATACCGAACGGCAGAGCTGGTTCAAACATGTTTTGAGGAATAGGATAAAATTCTGTGCTGGTTCGTTGGTACAGTTGAGTAAAACTGGCCACAGGCCGACATTCCCATGGTATAAGGATGATCATTATAATATGTGTTGACCAAGAGTACATAACCCCAAGAGTGTGCAACTCCAGCTATGGGGTCTGCGGCGGCAGAACTTCACATCACGTGATGAACCCGTACATATTATTTGCACTCTGTGCATGATAGATACTGGGTTGTTGTACGCAGCCCAGCTTTGGGTACAACTCTCTTGTGATCACTTTGCACTGTTTGCCAGCATAACCTTTTGAACCATGTCACGTGATGTGAAGTTCTGCCGTCGCAGCACAGCATAGAGGTTGTGCAGGCAGTTGCACACTCTTGGGGGTTATGTACTCTTGGTGTTGACTCGCAATGAGCAATGCAGGTTTGCACACCCATGCACAAACTAACCCAGCGATCCTTCTTCAATCTCAAGCTGGTTACAACCCTGCTTGACCCCTGTGCATTTGTGTAAATGCAATGTGGCCTTCTGTTACATTCAGTAACGGCAATATGGTGGTGTCGTGTGTTGCACGACTTATGTGTATGCGCTATAAGCATGTACATGATGTCCATGCTTTGAGGTGAATGTGGCCGCGTGCTATGTCGGTACAACAGCACTGCAACAGCCGCTGTGGTTGGATTGCAATATCCACACCTGCAGTGTTTTGTGTGTGTATGTACGTGTGTTTGGGTGGGTGTGTGCATGCATGTGTGTGTGTATGTGTGTGTATGTGTGTGTGCATGTGTGTGTACGTGTGTTTGGGTGTGCGTGTATGTGTGTGTGTGTGTGTGTGTGTGTGTGTGAGTGTGTGCACGTGCATGCGTGTGTGTCTGGTGCTGCAGAAAGTTGAGCATCACATGGTCGACTGCAATAGCTGCATGCACAAAGCCGAGACGCAACTGCGAGAGTTGAGCTCGAAAGGACGGGGCATGTTTAGCCGTAATGCCATTGTGTCTGAGGTCCTGGAGCTCAAGCTGGTCGAGCTGTACAGCAGCGGCCAGCACCTGATCCAGTACCTGGAAAAGTGGCGATGCAGCCCCAGCTCACACACTGTCACCACTACAGACCACTACCAGTGTGTGATCAACATCATCAAAGAGTGGAACGAAGGCCTGCAGAAACTGCACAGTGACTACGATCTACTGTGTGAAGATGAGGATGCCTCCACGGATGAGACCAGCTCTGATGATGCTCACAACCTGCAGAGGGTGAGTATGGTCACTAAGAAAGAGTATTCACGGTTGGAGATGTGTTACTGCGCACGTCATACTTTTAGGGTTGGATGAAAAATTGACATTCCCAGGAAGACAACTTGGAGTGTGTGGCAGAGTGAACAAAGACTCCATTCAAACAATTTTGTTTGCATTTCTTTTCCGCTGTTGTTTTCAAGGAGTCGCATTGGTTCCGCACGGGAGGAGCCGAGTTTATCACGGAGCGGTGCAGCAGGCCAGGCAGCACCATGGAGCAGGCCAGGGAAAACAAAAAGGAATTGCAACTTTTCCGTGACAAGCAGGCGGCTGTAAGTTGCTTGCACATGCAGTTGAACCTCTTCTACTGCCGTCCGGTGACCGTACAATTTAAAAAAAAGAAAAAAAGAGTACAGTAGAACCTGTTAAGGCAACCACCTGTCCTAGAGGACCACTACAACTACAAGGACCAAGGGGTGTTATCATTTCCGGTCAAATGACCCTGGATACGGAGACCACCTGTATATCAAATGACCCTGGATAAGGAGACCACCTGTATATTATGGGGACCACATTTTGAAGGTTCCTTGAGCGGTCCGCTTAGACAAGTCAGTTCACTGTACATACCTCAACTCCTCAAAGTAGGCAACTCTACCGTAAGCCTCCGCCATGACTCGCTTTCAGAAGAAAAAATTCACGTTGCCACAACGCAATACCCTTGACTATACACAAAGCTGCACTGTGCTCGGTCAACCTTGCACAGTGCATGCAGGCATAGAGCTGGTCATGTCATGACTTATGAGAGATGATGCGGTGAGTTGTTACAGCTAGCCATCGCCGCGGATGTGCACCGCTCTGGGAGTTCTGTAGTCTTGATATGACTGTGAATGTGGACCTGATTGGCTCACTTTTATCATCGCAAATTGTCCGAAAGATCTGAATCAGCTGTGTTAAATTGGTAATTCAAGTGCCACCCTCGTGCACTTGCGAGTGCTGATCGCGGTGTGTGGTGATTGCTGGCATTGGCTAGCAGTATGAGCCGTACCCCCATTGCATATCTACATGCGTACATGTACATGTAGCTGCTTGACTGCAGTACCTGGGGAGCTTTGACAACGGTGAGCTGCCCCTGTAGCAAACACTGATTATCTTGACTGCGGCGAGGGTTTCACTAGCGCCTGAGGCTGGATTAACTTGTGAATGTACCGGTAATCCACTCCTTTAAAAAGGTGGCTCAAACCTCTTAGGAGGTAAAACTACTTTCACAGTTTACTTTTGTCACGGTGTTTCTGTTCCAAGTTGTTCTCTGGCACGTGTAGACCCGGTCGACAATGATATTCGCACGAGGGACACTTGTGCATTTTAGCTGTACTCATGGCAGCTTGAAAGTACAGCATTGCGTTTTTCCCAGCTCCAAGGCCCCGGCAATAAGTTCGACAAAGACAATCATATGAAAAGCAGCACCGTTCTGTAAAGGGGTTTTCACTTAGAAGTGGTTCGAGCTACCTTCACCACACTGCCAAGCATTTTAATTTTATGTCCTCGTGACCGTGACCGTGACCGTCAGATCATAGTGCACAACTCGTACTCGTTTTTCAGGACGGGGCACGCTCCCTTCCAACGGAATCTGTAATTGAAAGTTGTCACACTTTGTATTTCCGCCTGTAGGCGCACATAGCAAATGCTGAAGGTTTGATCAACAGGATCCAAACTAGCAAAGGCCACTGCAAAGAGGATATCGGCCGAAGGCTTGTGGTACAGGCAGAGGACCTGAAGCAGTTGATTGTCACGTTTGGCAAGAAACTGGACGACTGGTATGAGAGCATTTTGTCAGCTATCAAGTGGCACGAGGCAGCTGCTCAGGTAGGACATACTCCAAACTAGTTAGAAAAGGAGAGGAATCTTCTGTTGACGCGTTCTCCACCGGGGCCATTGATGTTATTGCATCATGCCTTCCTTGGTTGTCGGGTATGCTAGCATAGGAATACGAGCTCTTGCGCCCTGCTTGCAGAATCATATTGTCGATCATCACCTACCAGGTATTCCCCCCCCCCCCTCTATGCATCTATCCATCTATTTTTTTCTTTTCTTTTTCTTTTTTACAAACTTCAATACTCCAATTGTCTTGTGATGAATTATGATGACTAGAGCAGTGTCATGGGTTGTGGGGCTGTAGTCGACCTAAAGTCTCGACCGTGATGTGCGCTCAGTGCACCAAGTGAAGAGAAAATAAGATTTATCCATCTATCCATCCATCCATCCATTCATTCATCCATCCATCCATCCATCCATCCATCTATCCATCCACGATCCATCTATCTCCCATCTCTATTTGCCAATCCATATCTGTGTGTATATGTGCAAATACACACGTGTGCGTGTGTGTTTCCTCAGCTGGTTGAATGGGTGGTAGCCTGTTCCGGTATCAGTCGTGCCAGCGTGGAATCTCAGCAGCAATCCGGCACAGCCCTGCAGAACGTCAATTGCTGGATAGAGGAGAACCCATACCCGGCTCAGATCCTGAAGCAGTTGGAAACCCTTACCGAGGAGCTAAGGAATTACGTTCACTTCGTGACGGAAATGCAGAAGCACCGCGTGCGCGTGCACGACGCCATGCATAGCCTGAGAAGCTGCCAGGTCCATCTCAGTGCTGCACGAGATGGCCTCTTTACACTAGATGCAGGGAGCGATGAAGACACTCACCCGGCGCGGGTGTGTGGCGTGGCTGGCAGCTCTCCCTGTGATAAATCTTCTGGCACGCTCATCGGTCCAAGGACTTGTGAACAGAGGATTGCAATGGGGAAGGCAAAGTAAGTGTATAGCCACACAGTGAGTGTATAGAAATGCAGTGAGTACGTTCGATTATGCACGCGAATCCGCGCTATTCACATCACCCCATGTGAATAGAGTGAGTGGATTCCGAATCGATTCCAGGGCTCATGATATGATAATCGAACGACTTAAATGCATGTGAATGGATTCATGAATCGATTCAAGTGCATAATCGAACGCAGCCAGTGAGTGTGTTGTACTACAACAAGTGTATAGCAATGCAGTGAGTGTGTACGTATGTAGTGCCTGGGTTGCTATCACTGCACATTACCGACTTGTCTCTGTGCACGCTACTGTGAAACTTCAGTTTCGACAGAACAAACTATGCATGTTATGTATCAATTTAAGGTTGTGCTGTGCCAGTAGACTTTGGATAAATAGTGCCACTCGGAGAGAATTCAATAGTGCCGCTCGGAGAGAATTCAATAGTGCCGCTCGGAGAGAATTCAATAGTGCCGCTCGGAGAGAATTCAATAGTGCCGCTCGGAGAGAATTCAATAGTGCCGCTCGGAGAGAATTCAATAGTGCCGCTCGGAGAGAATTCAATAGTGCCGCTCGGAGAGAATTCAATAGTGCCGCTCGGAGAGAATTCAATAGTGCCGCTCGGAGAGAATTCAATAGTGCCGCTCGGAGAGAATTCAATAGTGCCGCTCGGAGAGAATTCAATAGTGCCGCTCGGAGAGAATTCAATAGTGCCGCTCGGAGAGAATTCAATAGTGCCGCTCGGAGAGAATTCAATAGTGCCGCTCGGAGAGAATTCAATAGTGCCGCTCGGAGAGAATTCAATAGTGCCGCTCGGAGAGAATTCAATAGTGCCCCTCGGAGAGAATTCAATAGTGCCGCTCGGAGAGAATTCAATAGTGCCGCTCGGAGAGAATTCAATAGTGCCGCTCGGAGAGAATTCAATAGTGCCGCTCGGAGAGAATTCAATAGTGCCGCTCGGAGAGAATTCAATAGTGCCGCTCGGAGAGAATTCAATAGTGCCGCTCGGAGAGAATTCAATAGTGCCGCTCGGAGAGAATTCAATAGTGCCGCTCGGAGAGAATTCAATAGTGCCGCTCGGAGAGAATTCAATAGTGCCGCTCGGAGAGAATTCATGCCTTGTTTTTTAAAACACCCGTAATCTGAACGGTATTTGCGCTCTGCTGTGCACTCTGCTGTGCTCTGCTGTGCTCTGCTGTGCTCTGCTGTGCTCTGCTGTGCACTAACTCGCTGCAGAGACATCTTTACGGAGATGAGAAGAGCAGAGATGCCGTACATCACTCAGATGTACGGCTGGGAACAGGTGTGTAAGGCTGATGCACAGTGCAGTATTATTTCTAGTATATGTACTTCTTCCAGGCTACTACGGTTTAATCCGTCTATTTTAGAATGCAGTATCGAAATTGAGGCAATTGTCAATGATTGGGACAGCCACTTTTAATTTTTCTTACCACGCCCATGTTCATTTTGAGCAGCAGTGTGATGATATTGTACTCACGACTACCATTGCCCAATGTTCCTAGCCGTCACACTGTGACAGCATTCACGCCCTCGGGGCATGATTGTAACTCTCTGAATATTGTATTCATGGTGTTAGAACAGTTCAGTTATCACATCCAACAGCTAGGGTCAAAATGCAACTACACACGCACTAGTACTGCGACCGTTGGATGTTTTTTTGGCTGTGAAGCAGGGTTTGAACGCTTTAATTGTAAGCTGGCACCTGTTGGATTTTCAGAAGTGCCACTCCCTAAGAACAGGTGGTTCTTGGCAATGAAGATGTTGACGTTGTAGCATGAGGTCCATGGCTGAGTGCCCTGATCGGTGGTCATTGATCCTCTGGAATTGCCGTCTACTTGCAGACGTACTACAGGTACCTGACCTCAGCCCTAAACAAGAGTTCAGCAAGTCTACTTGACCACTGTGGAAGCATCAACGAAGACGTTCACAAGGTGTTTACGCTTGTTCGAACGTAAGTGCAGTTAAAGTGTAGCAGGATCCGTGGCCTATACTTGTATATGATTTGCTTTGTGAAGCTGCAGTTAGTACAGTGTTGTGGAAAGTCACCTTATTGGCGGACTGCAAATGGTTTTACTTCTGCTGGTCTGTACTGCAATCTCCGTGACCAACCATTGCCATTAGAAGCCATCGGGAAGGAGTCAGCGGTGGTTCCCTGACCTGATCACATGCTCCCATGAGGTCGTATGCTATGTAGCTGTTGCCGCTCTGCCTATTCCTTCCTTGTAGAATATGCACTTCAAGTTGTCGGCTGGTTATTTGACTCGTTTCCATTACCTGTGTCTTGTGTAGTGAGTTGCAGCCGAGCCTGGAAACGTGTAAGGAAGATCCATTTTCAATGGGACGGGTTTTCAAGGTGAGCGACAGTTTACAGTCTCATAGACACACTCTGGATAATTTAACCCATTGAACGCTTATGACGTCTATAGACGTCATTGAAAATGCCCCCCATGCGCGGGATGACGTCTATAGACGTCATGGGATATATAGTGATTCCTGGCACTGTCTGGTGTGTAAAAGCACTGCTAGTCATTTGGATCATGATCCTGCCTCTTGTACGATAGGTCGATGGTTCGAATCCCGCTTGGAAACACTATAGGTCTTTTTTTCTTCTCTTTTCAGCGATCTTTCAGCTGCAATTTCACGCATTTGGCGTATTTCACGCAATTTGAGCAAACTTGCGTCCCCTATTGTGGGGCGCTATTCTTTTTGGGGACTGTATCGATTCTGTCACCGTGTGGTTGATAGTCTTGGCAATCCTTTCCAAAATATTTGAGGACCCCAGTTGCCAGAATCCTGGAGTTTTAGAACTTGCTATTGGCCCTGTTTTTAGCATTTTATATGCAGAGTACCATAGGCAAGGCCCAGTAGCGCTGAATGGGTTAAGAGGTACACCGTACTGATACTCGTACTGCTCTGATTCACCAGTCTATTACCTGCCCCGTACCGGCGACAGGAAGTAATTGTGTGATCATCTCTTGAATAATCTATGTGGAGATAAAAAGTTTAATAATAGCTATGTAAAGTAAGGATTCCGCAGACATCACCACGCAACATGACAATTTGTTCGAGGTTTGAAATTGTGAATGTTCTCGTTTTCACATTATGCTTGATGGTTGGTGCAGGAGAAGAGGCTGGACGCCTACAAGATGTACTACTATGGGATGGCAAGTTGGCCCGAGGCCCTGGGGAAGACTAGGGATGAACTGAGGGTAAGCCATTTGAGCACGGCCTGTTGTACAGGTTTCTGATATCTTATGTATATCAATAGTCAATACCCTGTCCATGCGGCTTGTATATAGCCCCTCGGCTTGGTTAACCTCAATGGCATTACTTTTTACTTCCTTTTTTTGTCATGCTATGCCTTTCTTTCGCACGGGGTAGTGAACCCAGGACAGAAGCGGACCAGGCATCATGACTTTGCACATCTATCGTTATGCTGCTTCATTACGCGACCTGTTTTATTATTATTATTTATTATTATGTCTTTCTTTTCCATTTCCATGTTCAGGCTCTTAAAGAGAAACTGGATTTCCCAAACGACATGGAAAACTACCTAGCTTTGCCGCACAAACAGCTTGCCCTCTACAAGTCCTGCCTTGAGGTGAGACCTGGCCTCGTGTGAACTGCTATTTAATGTGGCTGGGATGCGCCCTGGAACCGCCGGTGCGCGATACACCCACGGCACTTGTATTTACTTGTCTGCCCATGCTCACCGTGTATATACCTGGATTTCGAAGGCCGCACTGCGCATGAACAGCAGGCATCGTTGCATAGTACATGTACGGCCTTGTCCTTGCATTAGCTACGGCCTTGTCCTTGCATTAGCTCACACACTCAGTTGTTGTGCTGCATGTGGATGTGCACACAATATATGTGCCTGGTGACGCAGACGGCCCCCGGGCGTTATAGTATTTTCGGACATGAACCATTGTATAAGAATGTGCTCTTGTATAAGCAAACCCCCTTGTCGGTGTTATTGTTGAAGCTAATGGCAGGGGCGTAGCACCCGCTACGACTGGTACGACCATGGCCGTACCACTTTTCGAAAAGTGTGGTCCGTCTGGAACGTGCAAAACCGTAATAAAAAAATCAGGATCCATCGATGCATACATATGTACATGTATGCGCATCAGACTTTGACCATTTTCTAGACTCGTACTCGTAGATCTGTTATGCATCTGCAGTCGTACTGAGTACTGTACTCGACTCGACTGCACACTGCGCCTGAAGTGTGCCAGAAGTTCCCAGAACGCAGGATTTTGTGTCTTTTTTACAAAATTTTCGCGGGGGGGTCCCCCGGACCCCCCTCCAACACAGCCTTCGGCCGCACCGACCTTCGGTCGTACCACTTCCAAAACCCCTCCTACGCCCCTGTAATGGTCACCTTCAAGTTGGTGTGCCAAACAAGACAGACGATATTGAGCCCTGAGCTGGTGTATATGGTACTGTAGCTTTGGGGCTAGTCTAGTGTCATCACGCAGCCATGCATGCATTGTGCTTCCACCTTGCCTGTAGCGCCTTGCCGAGGCCTGTCCCAGAGTATCGAGGAGCAGCCAGCAGTATCAAGACTTGAAGTTCTCCGTGAAGAAGATCCAGGACCTCTGCTACCTGGGCAATATCATGCTTGGCCTCCAGAGACTGGATTCTTCTTACACAATCAACCATGTGGCACTAGGAAGACCTATTCGCATGGTAAGATGGACTTCAGTGCTTCCAAGAAAAGTGTCAGTCCCCCCCCCCCCCTTGTTTTGAATGGTTCACCGTGTGGTTGGCACGCAGTACACATGTTTCACTTCGTATCCTGTGTCTCCCATTGACTTCGTTGTGTTAGCACTCCTGCAAAGCGACTGGCTCTGTAGTAGACTGCCATGGTCAAGTGTCAAGTGTGCCAATACATGTACATTCCACAATCACTGTTTTCTCTATCCGGCTCACGGTGCTCCAACGATTTGAATGCTGTGTTTTCTATGCTGATCGTTTGACTTGGTGCTTGCTAAACCGTAATTGTAACACCAGTGCATTGAGTGGTGGGACTGCTGCTAGTTCAGATGGTATTGATAGCGACTACTCCAACTGTCTGTTTTGAATGCTGCATCGGCTTACAGGGTGAGTTTAGTGTTGGCACGGAGCAAGGTATGGTTTGCAAGCTCAAGAAGGCGCTGTTTGGCAAACGCGTCGAGCACCAGTACACAGCATTTCTATTTGAACGGGCAATACTGCTCGCAGCACCAGCGCAGACTGAGTGTAGCAAAGCTGGCTGTTCCGATAAGCTCACCTTTGTCCGGCAACTCAAGGTAGGTTGCAAGTCACATGCCAAGTGTCTTGCCAAGGGGTTCCCTTACTTTGGGGAGGTTCTCCAAAGTAAGGTAACCTTGGCCTGAGATTAGTGGTGGTGGTGGTGATGGTGTGTGTGTGTGGTAGGGGGGGGGGGGGGGGGGGGGAGAGATAGCCACCAAATGCAGTAGCAACTATTGTATCTCTGTCTGTGTAGCCAATATTATTCATCGGGAACCCTGAGCTACCCCGAGCTGAGTAAAGTTAATTCTGAAGCCAGAACAAACTGAAGACCCTGCAAATAAGCCCATCATGCGCATTGCCAAATGTGAAAGGTATGAGTAATGCATGTGAGTACGCTGGGATCAGCAATGCACTGTTCAACACCCCAGACGACCCATGCCCAGGTGGCTGTGTGAGGTGTTCATGGTACAAATCACGTCATTGCGCAATGGGCTTATGCATACTATACTGCACGAGGGAGGCACGTACTAAGCTTGTAGGTACTTGTTTACAGAATTTTATCATTAATTTTTCTCAGCCTCATGGAATATGATTTTTCTAAATGATGTATCCCAAGTCGCTTCCTGACAAAATGCTTGGTTTGTAATAATATTATGTCTTTAGACACCATGTTGTACATGCAGTTGGCGTTCTGTTGTAGCGCCAGGCCAATGGCATGTAGAGTGAGTTGTCATTTTAACTGGGCTATGGGGTCATGGCATTGTGGTTTGGCCCTGTGCAGCTTCAGTCTGTACAACTCACTGTGGAGGAGAACAATGTGGAGACGTTTGTGCTGGAAGAGAGTGCCGAACGACTTGTGTTCAAGGTACCAGTGATGTGTTGCAACTGAGAGCACACGTATTCTGTGTCATAAGCTACTTGACACCACCCTGCTGAAAACACAGCTAGGATGGCCTTCGGGGTAGGGTCCGGAGGCGAAAAGCCTGAGAAGGGGGGGGGGGGAGAGGGAGAGAGACAGAGAGGGGAGGGAGAGAGAGAGAGAGAGAGAGAGAGAGAGAGAGAGAGAGAGAGAGAGAGAGAGAGAGAGAGAGAGAGAGAGAGAGAGAGAGAGAGAGAGAGAGAGAGAGAGGGGGAGGGAGAGAGAGAGAGAGAGAGGGAGAGAGGGAGGGGGAGAGGGATGCTGAGTGTCTTCTTGTGAGCTCTTTTACTTGTATGTGAAATGATTGCAACAATTTTTTGGCCTCCACCTGCTGTTTCATGAGAATCTGTATGCATGGCATGGCATGGCATGGCATGGCAGGGAGGAGTAGGCAGGGGCGTCGCACACGGTACGGTCACTACTGTATTGACCCTTCCACTATTTGCCCCAAGTACCCCGTGAATCAATAAAATGCACTGATTTGGGCTCTAAATTTCCCAGATTTTCTGCTTAGCCATCCCTCCCCCACGAGTAAATTGCACTTCAGATTGCTGACCGTCATCATCATCATCATCATCATCACAAGCCCATAGCCCTAAGGCCGTCGGGTGTCACAGAGCAAGCATGATCAAGCGAGCGCCATAAAAATCTATCGCGTGCAGCAGCGAGCAGGGACTGCACGCGCACGTCAAGTGCAGTCCATGAAATAATATTATCTAGCCATGACATTCTGGGCCTGCCTCGGCCACGACCTCCAGCAACACAACCCTGAAGAACAGTCAATGACAAACAGCCGGAACGCCGGCATTGCTGACCGTACCACGCTAAAATACCTTCCGACGCCCCTGCCATGGTATACAACAATAAAGATTAAAGAGTACTGTGTCTATGCATGTTGACAGCAGTGCCAATAGTTGTGCGGGCGTGCATATGAGAATGTGCAATTGGGATGTGATGTCTGTTTCATTTAGAGTGACGATAACGGTTTGATCAGAACCTGGATTGATGAGATCACGAAATTGAAAGGCAAGATTAACACCAACATCGGAGGTAAGTAGGCTAAAGACATGTAATGGGGAGGGGGGATAGTATCGTAACGGCATTTCAATAAACCCACGACTTGTTATTATTTGATGCAAGTTGGTAACTCAGAGTTTCATGGCCTTGAGCCAATCATCAACTTGAAAACGTGTCATTTATTTTAAATTATTTATTAGATGTTAATGTCCCGGGCAATTCAGGACATGCCAGGGAGGACCGCAGCCTGTAGCCTAATACAGTTAAGCCGCCAGCGTGTTTTCACCTCATGCTTAGTGCACACCTTCCCCGGACAGTATTGCTCGGTCAACTTATGTAACAAGAGAGCTAAAAGTGTGCAAGAATGGACTCGGATGGAGAGCCAAGGATAAATTTATAGAAAAGAAAAAAGGACCAAGGAACTACAAGTTACGCTATATGTCCACTAACACCACTAGTTACTAAACAATCAGCTCATGTGATTGCATTGCACGACACTGACCGACGGTACTGACGTTCTAGAACTATCTGGCTAACAGCTCTAGCACATCTTGGATGCGCACTCAGTCCAACAGCCTTCCACCTTAGAAGGTTCTAAGTTATAATTATGATAACTTATGAGGGGAAGGCGAGCGCAACCAAGACAGGCACGAGCTGAAAGTCTCAGCTGTGAAGGACGCTGGCGGATGTTCATGCATGTCGATGACGATACTGGCAAGACCACTGGACAATACGGTCGAACCATGATTCCAGGACGCGAAGCAATATTCCACACAACTTGTGTGGCTCAAAGATGCGAAGATCAATAAAAGGGGAAGCTATGCGAACAAGAAAATCATGCAAAACCATAGACATGCATGAACATCCACCAACGTCCTTCACAGCTGAGACTTTCAGCTCGTGCTTGTCTTTGTTGCGCTCACCTTCCCCTCCTATGTTATCATAATAACTTAGAACCTTCCAGGTTGGACGGCTATTGGAGTGCGCATCCAGGATGTGCTAGAGCTGTTAGCCAGTTACAATGTAGTTGTAGAACGTCGTCAGTACCCGTCGGTCAGTGTCGTGCAATGTAATCGCATGAGCTGATTGTTTAGTAACTGGTGGCGTTAGTGGACATTATTCCCGTAGCTATGCAAAAGACGTTACTTCAGTAACGTCTGGCGCTAGCCAGGGTCCACACAGCTTTTAATTCCGTGTTTGTTTGTTTGTGCCTTCGGCATGCCTGGAGCTATCTCGTACCAGTCCTATACCGTACCATCAAAGACAGCTGGCCACAATATTCAAATAGGACTGTCAAATGCAAGATCATAACGTGAAGCAACTTGGAAGAAGGAGTATGTATGCGAAGTGTATCGGGGGAATGCATGCAGGGTGGTAGTGCGGGTTCGAATCCCAGGTCATGTCTTGAAAAAAAAAATGAGAAATGAAAAATTTATAACATCCCTATGCTTTTTTGCCTAGGTCATCAAGGTGGTAGACGGTGTCATATTACCCTCGAATGCAAAGAGAAAGTTTATTTCTTTCGCTCAGGACTCTACGCTATGCTTTTTTGCCTAGCTCATCATGCATGTTATTCGAACAGATGGAAACTTTTTGCAATACAATGATATAGCAGATCAGTTCGTTGTGGTATGGTTGGGCATTGTAGCCGTCATGGTCGACGTAAAACACTATAAGACCGCAACGAAGTTGGGGCCAAAGAGAAAGTTCCATCAGTTCTAATAACATGCATGATGAGCTAGGCAAAAAAGCATACTGAGCGTAGGGCCCTGAGCTTCCAAGCTCTCTCTCGTAGCGTAACTTGTAGTTCCTTGGTCCTTTTTCTTTTCTATAGAGCTAAAGGTGTTTGCAATAGCATTGCATTGTGGTTAGTGTTGTCGTAGGCAGTTTGTCTATGATAGCGGACTGCTCCAATGATTATATTCTTGTCATTCTGCCGCACAGCTACCTATCGAAGACGGTCACGGAAACTCACTCAAGGCCAGCATTTTTTTAGTGACTTCACTACAACTCGATGTGGGTCTCTGACCTTGCCCACGATTTGTGACAGAGGTGAACGCAAAGTAGCACACCGTCAAGTAAGTACCTCAAACAAATGCCTGGAGTGGCTTTCCCTTTTCACACTGCCAGCACTGGCCCGCTCATTGTGTTGTTTTCGATCCACATGTTTTACTGATATTTTCGAAAGTACCTATTTGCCGTAGAGCGAGTCTTCACACATACCGGTAACGTTATCTGTGTGTGTGGGTTAATGTTCTCGTGTTACCTTGCGTAGGCGTTCGCTGAACGGGATCGGAAGGTTGCTACTTTGGACAAGAAAACAGCGAAGATGGCAGACAATGCGTATGAGTTCCAAGAGCTCATGCAGGCACTCAATCCACATCACAGTGGCTGTTCCTAAAGTGTATTCAACTGGTCGATGATCAGCTGTAGCTGGGCTTTTGTTTCCAGGTTACGGTTGCCACGGATACTGTTCATGGCGTAGTGGTTGTCGACCCTCTGCCTTGATAATAGAGTTTATGTTGCCTTACTCCAATCAGGATTTGATCATCACTATGTTGTAGTACTTCTCTGACTGCCGTACACGTTTGATTATTAAAAGTATGCCTGATCCACTCTGAGAGGCTTGGTCGGTCACTGAAGAGCTCAAACGACAATCAAATTCCTGCACATCCGACTTTCTTGAGGTCTCCTTGATTCAAGTTGATTGTACGACTGATGTGAGTCCGTTTCCCATGTATGCCTATAGCACCAACCATGCATCGGAGTCCATTCTCCATGGCATGGGTACCTACAGCACCAAAAAAAGAGCATGTGTTGCTTTTCTCATGTTGGCACTAAACACCGCCGAAGCCTATATTTTGCATAATTTTGGCTGGCAACATAGCAGCTAGCTACGCTGGTCAAGTCATGGTCAATAAACAAGGAGCTAGTTTTTGTGCCGGTGTAAATGTGTGCATTTCGAAGCGTGCTTATGCATCTGTACAGTGATAGTGAAGTTTCATGTTGTAACTTAGAACAGCATGCTAAAACATGCGGTCGGCATATCTAATAATATCTTTCTCAGTGGCCGGGTAAACGGTAGTATCCTTGATTACCATGAACATTTCGCTCATCATGTTCCCAACCCTATTATTTGTTTTACAGAACCTGATATGGCCACTTGAAAAATTACACTCCTGAGAGTTTGGCCCGGGTGGCCATTTCTTCTCACCGTATTATAATTATATAAGGTAAAGTTGGCCGGACCATGTACAACTGTGTATTATGGAGACTGTGCTCGTCAGGGAGTCGTACCCTATATGCTTGCTTTTACGGCCGTCTCTGGCGCTCATGTCTGTTTCGCACTACCAATAGCCCGGGCTGTTCTCAAGGACCCCCCCACCCCCGCATGGAAGTCCGGGATTCTCTGCAGTCTGGAATCTCTGACATGTACGACAGTGTACAACATACAATCATGAGCTAAGACTGCTACAATACACACACCATGCGCGATGAGATCCGAGAAAGGCGAAATTTGTCAGCTGCGTTGTTTTTCAATGAAGTGACCGTACGGTGAACAATTGACGGTATGGGTCGTGCGGGGTCAGGGAAAGGCCTGACTGCAGCCATCTATATTGATAGTCTGTCCCTGCGGGAATTTGCGGAAAAAATCCTCGAAAACTTGCCCAAGAAATTGCGGCAGAAAACAACAAAAAATGCGGCGAAAAGTGCGGAACTTGCCAGGAACTCGCGTTCATTGCTACAGTAGAGTCGCGCGCTGAAGAACGCGGAGCCCAAGAACGTCCAGCCTGAAATTCTAAGAACACCACAGCCTAAAGCTAAGAACGGCGGTGTTGGTTTTCTGGCAGCTTGTGGAATACATATGATCCAGTACGGATTGTTTCTAAGAACGTGCTATAAGAACGCAGCCAGATTGCAGAAAAAATAAGAACGTCCCAGGCTAACCCCGGGCCTTGGAAACAACGTTCTTGGGCGCGCGACTCTACTGTAGCTGCTACCAGCACTCGGGATAGAATTCGCTGGCGTGCCTTTTGCTTTCTCTTTTCTTCGGCGCTCTGACGACCTTTATAATGACTGTGATGGCTTTGGCTGATGAGCTGACAGCGCAGCACAATTATGAATACAAGAGGAATATAAGACCTCCCCCCCCCCCCCCCCCCCCCAAACACACCACAGAACTACTCTTTGGAAAATGCAACTGCACTCAACGCCTTGAAGTGCAAAATGTCCTAGCCAGTCATCTGGGATGTGACTCCGCTGTACAGTGTACAGTCTGTCCCCCGTGAATTCCGCGGCAGAATATCAGAAATTCCGTGCAGAATTCTGCGGCTGAAAACAGTGAATTCTGCGCTAATTCTGCAAATCCTTTTATGTTCTGTGGCAATTCTGCGAGGAAAAGAGCGTAAAAACAGATCGAATTTCCGCAACCCCACCGAAGTCCGTTATCCCTATAAATTCTAAACCAAAATTATGCGAAATCCTGGTCAAAAAAATTGAAAGCTCCAAAATATGCTGCAAGTTCTTTTTGAAAGTCACAAGCACGTTGGTTTGGCTGTGAACATCCATCGAAAGCCTCCAGAAAAAGCAGTTTTCTCTCTTTTCTGCAATATTCCGCGGGATTTTCTGAAATCTGCGGACACTACTGGATTCTGCGGAAATTCTGCAATCCGCGGAATCGCGGAATTCACGGGGGACAGTACATTGTACATGTCGCAAGACCCAGACATAATCACCAACAGTGACCATGAATGAGCAGCACGAGGAGCGAGTTTCCAGCGATATAGGCAGTCAGTCGCTGGTGACCATTTGCTGGGTCGATAGCCATCACCACGCACAAGCAAGAAAACCAAACAGGATGAATACCATGCTAGAGGACAAAAACTGGAAATGCTCAAGTTCGGTTAACATGTCAACACACAAATGAAAAAGAAACCAAAAAGATTAAACTCCAACACTTGAAATTATGCCTGCTTAGGTTGGGTTATGGTTCAACACCAGCTGTAGTACTGCGAAAAGTACTGAACGGAATGAGAAAGTAAAGGCCGCTGCTCGAAGTTTAGTCAAGCCAGTAAGCTATGTCTGAAACCTGTGTGCCGCTACCAAAGCAACACAATAGCAAAACGCAACAAAGTTGCAGGCCGATCTCAATCCGCTGCTGCTCCACAAAAGGCGGCGGGAGCTCCCCCGCACTGGACAGAATGTCCGGCCCACGCAGTTCGTTTGATAAACAGCTGGCAGTGACCAGTGATTGTAGCACGTGGCAGATATTGACAGCATGCTGCTGCAGCCCTATCGGCACAGTTTTGACACTAGTACAATGTATACACACAACCTTGCCAGCCAAATCAGGCATGCTACAGCACGTATTCTATCACCGTGCCGTTTAAAGCTCAGTTTCCAAGACACCACAAGTATCGACGAGTACTGTGGTTGATGGGTCACCACTGCGAGAACCCAGCTTCTCAATGGATCTGACCACGTCCATTCCCTCAACAACTGTGCCAAAGACAACATGCTTTCCATCCAACCATGGGGTCTTCTCCGTTGTGATGAAAAACTGTGAGCCATTCGTGTTGGGCCCAGCATTGGCCATACTCAACATACCCTCACTCGTGTGTTTCAGAGTGAAGTTCTCGTCGGCAAACTTCGTTCCATAGATGGACTTGCCACCAGTGCCGTTGCGGTTGGTGAAGTCTCCACCCTGGCACATGAATCCTGGAATGATGCGATGAAAGGGACTACCTTTGTAGCCGAATCCTGGCTCACCAGTACACAGGGCACGGAAATTGTCTGCAGTTTTTGGCACAACGTCATTCCTCAATTCCATCACAATGCGACCAACGCTTTTTCCACCAGCGGTCATATCGAAGAAACATTTCGTTCGGGCAGCCATTGTGTCTGCAGTTTAGAGAAGGCTAGACTTCAGCAAGCTTCAAAAAGGCAATTGTAGTCTACAAACCATTAGCATTTGACTTCAATAATAAAATGTGGAGCATGGAGGTGTTGCATAACAGGCTTTTGCCATGCACCGCAACTCAAGATTGCGCAAGTAAAAAGGCCAGAACTCGTGCAGCGCGTGACCTTGTGCACGTGACTCATTCAGACGACTCGATCGGGCGTCGCGGCCCTCGCGGCGACCGTCAAGCCACGGCGTCGAGAAATGTGTAGCCTAGCCTGCTTCTCCGCCGGCGCGGATCTAGTTTTGTAGTTAGCGCGCCTGCACTGAGCTTTGACACGCGTTTGACACCTGTTTGAAGGGTTGGTGGCATAGCAACGTGGGTGACGCGCGCAACTCGAAACAACTGCGCTCGGACATCAGCGCAGCTTGAACATACCAGCTTGATAATGACTTTCGGATCGCTGGGAGAGTTTTTCAAAAACAAAGACTTCTTTTGACTTGATTCCCCTTTTTGTCTCTTGTTCAGCACTTTTGCCAGTATCATCCAAGTAGTGGAAGGGGTGGAATATTTATAGGCATCGACAAACATAGTTATAATCATACTTGACCGCCTTCGTGAAACTAGCACAAACCAAGCTCTGTAGTAACCTTTTATTAGTTGATCTCGACAAGTTTCGAAGCGCCTATTAGCCTGCTTGAGAGTGAAATGGCTGCGGTGAATGTCCTCCACACGGCCGTTTCTACGGGTAACGTCAGCAGACATGACATGATAGAATGGATCAACACGACTCTGGGATTGCAGTACACCAAAGTCGAGCAGATGTGTTCCGGTAAGTTACGGTTGAACAGTTGTTTGTCACTGTATTGTGCACTTGAGCACACTTTGTCAAAATGTTTTCCAATTTTGACAATTTTAATTCCACTATTTCTTCACATCACAGCTGGAAATGGAAATATTTATACAGTCTAGTCGTAGCGCAGTAAAACTTCAAATTATCGTCGGGTTTCCATGCTCTTACATTGTATCACTAGCTTCAAAACATCTGCGAAGGCATTCTGACTTACGAATATCCATGCAAATATGCTGTTGTATCACCAGTCTGGGTAGCCCAAGCAAGGGCGAGGGCTGCTCATTCGGGTATGGAAAATATGGTAAAATATGTGCATGACGTAGTGTACATTCATACGTCAGGACAGCATTGTGTTGTCGTGGGTGTGGAGGACACATGGCATGAGTTCAGCCGCTGCTCAGTGTCTGTTAGTGGATTACTGCAGCTACCACTAGGAGGATGGGCACTAGACTCTGTCCCTCCAGAAACTTGCGGAGACATTTCGGAAATATCGCGGAAAAAGTTGCGAGGTAAAATGCCACAAATTGCGGGGAATATTGCAGATTTTGCCAAATATTGCGGGATTATTGTGGTAAAATTGCGGAAAGGCCGATTTTGGTACTTGTGTAACCCTCTCTGAAAGGCTACAGAGTATCTCAACACACAAAGACACAAAGAATCGGAACCCAGGAAATTACTCTCGCCATGACGAGTAAAACCAAACTCTCTCTCCTGCCTTCAGCAAGAAGCGCGGGAAGACCAAAGGAAAAGGGTGTCACGTGTGGGGCTAGGTTCCCGCCACGGCAGCGATATCACGAGACAGCCTACGTCACTACTTGTACAAGGGTCTACACCTCCCCCTCCTTTGAAAGGCCATGACCTCATGGCCGGAGGTGGAAAAAAAAGTATACTTATAAACAGCAATGCCTCGAAAAGTGAGTTAGGGTATGTAAAGAAAACGATGAGAAAAGTTGCATGCGGCAATGGGGTATACATGTAATCTCATTCAAACACGGAACACGGTCCGAAAACATGGAGAGATTAAAAAAAAGGTAAGTATTGAAGTGGGGCGGGCGCTGCCGCCTCAGAAACTATCGCTGCGTAATACTGGGGTGGGCTACGGCGATCGGCACATGTTACGTGCAAAAACATGAGTAGAAAATCAAGGCATGCAAAAGGAAAGATTCGCAAAGCAGAACAGCAGGTAGGAATGACAAGTGCAGTCATCGAGTCAGAGTACCTGTCCTCCCGTCTACGTGATCAGACGGTCAGTTGAGTACCACACACGGTGCGACTGTGGCGGGGGTAGGCGAACATCACCAGCTGTGAACTGGACGCCTGGTGTGTACTGGGGACAGGGACCAGCGTTGACAGTTGGCACCGGAGCAGGGTTGGGTGCCGGAACAGGAACGGTCGGTTGAGGTTGAGGGCCGTGGAACGGCTTCAGGCGATCGACATGGACTATGTGTGACTTCTGGTCGGAGCACCCCTGAATTTCCAAGACCACGTCATCCAGGAGACGGGCAACACGGTACGGGCCTTTCCACGGCCGGTGGAACTTGCTGCACTGACCAACTTTCACAGCCGGGTTGTGGAGGAGAACCAGATCGTCCGGCTTGAACGGGTTGGCACGACTACGAACATCATAGGCTGTCTTCTGGCGTTTCTGAGCCTTGGCACCGCACTCACGAGCAAGTTCATAGGCATGTTGGAGGGTTGGGTACGAGTACGGAGCCAACCGGCGGATGGCTTCGCAGTAATCGCTTAACGGCTCCCCAGGGCGTTGGCGACGACCCTGCAGCTCAGCCCGATACATGTCGGCTTGCTGGGGCGCATTGAACCGCTGCTCCATGAGCTGCAGCAACTGCGGAAGGGGGCCCTGGCGCACATTGGCATCCAGACTGTGGTAGTAGGAGAGAGCAGCTCCAGACAGATACAGACCAAGGTATGCGACCTGGTGTTGGGGCGTCCAATTGTTCACTTGGGACACAGTCTCGAATTGGAGGAGCCATGATGGCCAGTCACTGTCACGCGCCCCTTTGAACTTGTCCGGCGTGGCCCAGGCACGGACTGGCGCAACCGGCGGAGCTGGTTGCTGGGCACCCGGTGCAGGAACAGGTTGTGCAGCCTGAGGAGCTGGTTGGACCTGCACACCCGGAGCTGCTGGCTGGGGAGCAGGAGGAGCGGCTACGGCCACAGCAACAGCTGGCTGTGGGGCGGGCTGGGCTTGAGGCTGTGGAGCCGCAGCTTGAGCAGCAGCACTTCTCAGTTGGCGTTGAGCCATGGTAGCAAAGAAAAAATCAAAACGGGACCGTGGGAACAGTTGAAATAAATTGCAAATCAGGCCGGCGAGCGGAACGGCACGTCAAACAAACTGAAACCGGCGGTGGGGAAAAGACACCGCTGCCACCAGTTGTAACCCTCTCTGAAAGGCTACAGAGTATCTCAACACACAAAGACACAAAGAATCGGAACCCAGGAAATTACTCTCGCCATGACGAGTAAAACCAAACTCTCTCTCCTGCCTTCAGCAAGAAGCGTGGGAAGACCAAAGGAAAAGGGTGTCACGTGTGGGGCTAGGTTCCCGCCACGGCAGCGATATCACGAGACAGCCTACGTCACTACTTGTACTTCAGTACAAGGGTCTACACTAGTACTGTAGTGCGGTACGATGTACGAGTCGTACAGCATAAATCATGCATGACCAAACAGAACGTGTGCTGCGCTGACTGTGTTCAACTGCCTGACAGGAGCTTGCAAGACAGCTTTCCTCCATCCTCGGACAACACTCGACGCGAGCCTTATTTTGTGACTTGTCAGCCGCTGATTTGCCCAGAAACTTCTCCTTTCTGGTGTCGATCTCACAAGTAAACTACTGACGAGCTTGAAGAACTAAACAACATCGAAGAAAGACTCGAATATCGCGGTTGCTTTTCGAAATATCGTGGTGCTTTTGAAGTGTCTGGGACAGTTTTCTACAATAACAAGGATGATTTTTCAAATATCGCGGATATCACGGACTTTTGTTCAAGTCGCGGAAAACAACGCGGCCGCGGAATCGCAAGTTCCTGGAGCGACAGACTAGTATTAGACTGTGCTCTCATATGGGTTGCTGTGTCCGATGACAATACAGCTGTAATTGAGATGCATAACCAGACACTCTGTTAGCCAAAGTGGGGGTCTCGAGACATCCATTCTTTTCAATATTATAGAGGTTCTGGAAAACGAAAATTCGAACGAAGTTTTGCGAGGGGCGTTGCGAAACTGTGTGCGAATTTTTGCATGAGCTTTGTGTTCCGCACATTTTCGTAGTTTGCACTCGCTCAAGTGCACGTACGCGGTGAACCCGTTGGCCTTGTCTCACAAAACTTCTCACGAAAGTTCATTTCGCGTTCACGTGAGCCAAAAATATCAATTTCTTACGGCCCCCGCAATGGCAAACAAGACTATTATAGTACACAGCACAGCAAGCCATGAGCAAGGGCATCTATATATGCACCGGCACAGGCATGTACGGCAAACGATTCACACATACATACACGCACGCACACACACGCACACACACACACACACACACACACACACACACACACACACAACCCCTCCCCTAAAGTGCTATTCCGCCATTGGTTAAAATTGGCTGAATCACTCACCGTACAGTGATGTAGACTGCATTCTTCCATTCTTCTACCTTAGGACACACGGCCCGTATTTCCCTTTAAAATTCCGTCTGATACACCCCCAATGTGCTCAATTAGCCACTATTGGAATGTGTTAGATTATTGGCGACTCAGTACCGTATATTCTCCATTACTAGCATAAGCACACTGCGAGCGCATTTCGGATTTTCAAAGCATTATTAGCACAGTCAGTGGAGTTCAGTGTTGTGTGCATGATATCTAGCACGTATTTCTTCTTGCTCTATATGGAGTTCTTGGTTGAACAAAATATAGATACGGTCCCATTTTTTAGCACGGGTTAGAGGGGTCTTGAAAGTATATGAGCACAGCGCTTGTAATAGAGAATATTGGTATACGGTATGAGTGCCTGCTATGAGTGTTCTGTGAAGAAATTGTATGTGCTTGTGCGAAAATGTGATTCACTGTGTGTGTGTGTGTGTGTGTGTGTGTGTGTGTGTGTGTGTGTGTGTGTGTGTGTGCGTGTTTGTGTGTGTGTGTTGGTGTGTTGGTATATTGGTGTGTTTAGGTGCGGCTTACTGTCAGTTTATGGACATGATGTTTCCAGGTTTGTGCCATTGTTGCTCTACAGTACTTTTGTAAAGTGTGTTATGCAGTGTGTGTGTGTGTGTGAGTGTGTGTGTGTGTGTGTGTGTGTGTGTGTGTGTGCATGTGACTGTATGTGTGTGTACGTGTGCAAGTGACTGTGTGTGACTGTGTGTGTGTGTACATGTGTGTGCATGTGACTGTGTGTGTGTGCGCGCGCGTGTATGTGTGTGCGCGCGCGTATGTGTGTGTGTGTGCATGTGTGTGTGTGTGCGCGTATATGTGTGTGTGTGTGTGTTATGCGGTGTGTGTGTGTGTGTGTGTGTGTGTGTGTGTGTGTGTGTGCATGTGACTGTATGTGTGTGTATGTGTGCAAGTGACTGTGTGTGTGTGTGTGCATGTGTGTGTGTGTGTGTGCATGTGACTGTGTGTATGTGCATGTGTGTGCATGTGACTGTGTGTGTGTGTGCGCGCGTATGTGTGTGTGTGCGCACGCGTATGTGTGTGTGTGTGCGCGTATATGTGTGTGTGTGTGTGTGTGTGTGTGTGTGTGTGTGTGTGTGTGTGTGTGTGTGTGTGTGTGTGTGTGTGTGTGTGATTTGGCAAATTGCACTGCTACGTGCAGGTACTGCCAACCTGGCTTATTGAATTTCTATCTTGATTTTTGCCACTCCATTACAACATACATGCTAGTTGTTGCTGGATGAGTGGTCGTGTGTGGGTGCACCACATCACCTGCCCTCATTGATTGCAAGGACATCATAATGAAGTGCTTCATCTGATCATGGACCTGCATGTAGTGTGCCAGCATTGTCCTGTATAAGCAGACATACCAAAAATATTGTTGCCGTTTTCGTACGCAGAATTTTTGGGACTAAATCGAATGCAGGACGAACAGCAGTTTGTCTAACCTTTCAATGCGTTTTGTGTTCCGCAAGTGTACCGTGAACAGCCTAGAGACTAGAGAGTACTACTGGTGCAATGTTAGCCTGCTCTAGCTGTAGACTGCACGTGGCTTTTCTCTGAATCTTGCCGTAGTAGGCTGCATGGCTGTTCTCTGAAAATTAGGAAAGCACTAATGGATTCTGTCATTGTCTTGTCTTGGCTGTTTGAAGAAAGTGGATCTATGAAAGAATGCCGTCTGTCTTGCTCTGTGCTCTCTCTCTCTCTCTCTCTCTCTCTCTCTCTCTCTTCTCACAGCATGTTTGTCATTGAAAAAGGTCAAGTTCAATGCCAAAATGGAGCATGAGTATGTTGCTAACTTCAAGATCCTGCAGACGTCGTTCAAGAAGACTGGCGTAGACAAGGTTAGGTGGCGTTGCGGACTTGTGTGGCGTTCTTGATGAGGTCTTAGTTGGTTGCATGCAGAGTCATTAGAGAGGTTCCAGGGTACGATTTTCCGTGCCAAAATCCGTATGGCCGCTACGGATTTTTTCCAGGCGCGCTCCATATGATTTTTCGGCGCGGAGAATCCGTGTGGACTGGCTTTCATACGAATCATGTTTCGTATGGAGATTTTGCGTCATCGGGTGCAGAAAGATTTTTCGCGTACAAATTTGGTACGAGAAACATCGATTTTCCGCGGGAAGTTTTGATTTCGGTGCAATTTTTCAAAAATATATAGGCATAGCGTGGGAATGTGACGTGTTTGCGATCGTAACCTATGCAATGACGGCAAACACGTAAATTCCATACCCCAGAACTTTTCACTGCTCGAAAACGACGTATAAAAAATCCGTAGCGCCTCCACGGATTTTGGCACGAAAAATCGTACTCCGGAACCTCCCTATTACATTCTAGTACTGTAGTAAGCAATTCAGCAGCATTCTTGTTGTTTTGTCTGATGCTACACTACAGATCACACCAGTGGACAGGCTTATCAAGGGTCGCTTCCAGGATAACTTTGAATACCTGCAGTGGTTTAGGAAACTCTTTGACGCCAACTACGATGGCCATGAGTATGACGCTCCTGCAGCTCGTGGAGGTCAAGGTGGCGCTGCGCCTGCAGCAGCCCCTGCTGCTGGACGCGTAAAACAGCCAGCTGTTAGTCGGCCGACCGCGGCTGCATCCAAACCAGCAGGTGTGTTTCCTGTATGGCCTGGCTACTTCTGAGCATTGCCCTGCTGCAAGTATTTGACGCAGGTTGCAGACCTGGCCAATGTCAGGTGTGAGCGTTGCCGGCGTTGGATATTGCGTCTACTCGACAAGTGCTATTTGCACCAAGAAGAAAACTTGTGTAATTACTTGTCTGTTACACTGTACCTTGTTCTTTGCAGCCAACAAGTCCCGGCCTGCCGCAGCGCCTACCACCAGCACGGCTGCGAGCACGGCAAATAGCTCTGCTGCAAGTGCAGCACACGCTGCCCAGATCGAAGAGCTCAAACAACAGGTAGGCTGCCGGGGGGTTTCTGTGGTGTCGCCATTGTGTGTTGATGAGGACGACACAGTGCAGACTTTTCTGTAGGATGGCCATGGTGTGCATGGTTCATTGATCTGCTCTGACCTATCTGTCTGTTTTTGTTGTCTTGGGGATAGACTTTCACGACAGCCAAAAGTGTGGAACCACTCTTCCCAATCAGTTTGTCCTGCCCATTTATCCTGCATGGATTCCGACCACTGCTTTTGTGCTGAAGTGCAGACCGTTGTTTTACCAATGTGCATACCACTAGCTTACTTGCCTCCATCTGCTTTGCCACAGCTTGCGACCACACAGCTGACCGTTGACAGCCTCGAGAAAGAGCGTGATTTCTACTTTAGCAAGTTGCGCGATATCGAGATTATCTGCCAAGAACCTGGCAGCGAGGACCTCGACTCAGCCAAGCAGATTTTGGCTATTTTGTATGCAACAGAGGTGAGTACTGAGTACTAGTAGTTGCACTGGCTGTGTTTGGCCCTTGCCAGGTTGCGCTCTACTCGCCACCCGTCTTCGCTGGTCTGCGGGGGCTGTATCATGACTTCTGCTGTTCTTGATGCGTGCATGTGTGTGTGTTTGTGTTCAGGATGGCTTTGCACCACCTGTGGAAGGAGGAGAAGACCTTATGACGGATGAGCAGCCACCATTCGAGGAAGAGGAACAAGAGGAATACTGAGGCTGCGTCCAATTTTCAGTTCTGGGCTGTAAACGACCCAGCTGTTGTGCTGCACAGCACGTTGAGCAATATTGCATCGTGCAACCTATGTCGATGTGACACCTACCCAATGCGCTGTTAGTTCTTGGTCAATGTCATCCCATTATGCTGGAACTTTTTTTCTCTTTTTTTGTGTGACACAGTTTTGGCAAAAAGTTTTGTGGAGATTTATTATTTTTGGTTCTTCTTATTTTTAACATTTGAATCTGAAATCCGGTACATGGTCTCTGACATGGCTCTACTTGATCTCCGTGGCATACTGATCCATCTTGTAAATTCTAAAGTTAGGAATTGGGCTAGGCGTACGTATGTGTAGCTGGTCTGATCGTTAGGGGCTCAGACAGGGCGGCGGCCTCAGTGACTTCTTCTTTTCTTCTTTATCTGTATCCTGTTGGATTTGTGCTGTTTAGACGTTGTTGTTGTTGTTGTTGTTGTTGTTTGTGCCGTTAGATAGCGACCACTTGGTAGAGTGTACTAGTATTGTGTGTTACACTGTACACTGCTATCCATGTTCAATATCTACTGTAGCCATCCAGATACCCTGCAAAGAATCCTTCTTATTTTAATTATCATTACCCGTGTGTGCACCGCACATTCGCCTACATCTTACTGTTGTAGTAGAGAGGGCCGCATTGCGTTGGCCCGGCCCGTAGCATTTCATTATACGAGAATTCTCCCGCTTCCCAGTGCACTTGCGTGGCGGAAGAAGTGCATGTGCGTTAGGCATATGCGGATAATGCCGGCAGAAAATTTGGCAGAATTCGGTACTTTTTCTGGTAAGTTTCATGCATGTTTGGTACGTGGATAAAGAAATGGAGCAGAATTCGATGAATTGCCCGCCATAAGGTTTGTATAGTTCTGCCAATTTCACTGCTTTTCGAGCAGAATCTGCCACCTTTTCGAGCATTATCCGCACACCCCTAATGTGCGTGCCAACGGTGGGCCGCGTACACTGTGTATGGCTACAATTTAAAAAGTGTTTGGTGGTTTTCTGTATACTAGCAGTTTGGACTGCAGAGTAGAATTCTTCCTCTGTGTCCGAGCACTGCTCATTTCCACAATGGCCAAAGCTTTGATTCATCCTTGCAACGAAGGCAGAGCCTCAGGGTAGGATATCTAACATAGTTTGGACTGTGCACTTGTGCCACAGAGTTGCCGTATACCGGTACATGTAAAGCATTCGTGCTGCTCATGTTGCAATGGATGAAGTTTCATTACCTGTGCACGAAACGCTCACTCTGGCCTGTCCCGTGGTTGAAGTGACATTAATTTCGGATGTTGTGCACTGAAGTACATGTACTCAATGCAAAAGTGTGCACCCTTATGTCTTGATCTACATAATATTGTTGTATTGTGGGGCATACTTGGCATACATACAAAACCAGTGAATTTATATTTCGAAGTAATTGTACAAACATGATGAGACATGAATGTTTTAAAATGTTGAACAGACCCAGCAAAAGTCAATGACTGATAAAAAAGAGTACAATCATATACTTGTACAACAAGTATGATAGGTATACAGTACTATACACGGCAGTACAGCTGAGCGTAAACCAGCTCTCATTATTTCAAACATGACGTTAGAACATTCGGTTGTGCGTATGCTCAAAGCGACCTCTAAATAGCAGAATCTATAGCTTTCGGATGTTAAAGAAGAATAGATTTGCAACTCAATACACACTTTCCAGCTTGACCGGTAGCCACGGCAGCTGCTTGCTAGATTTCCGATGCATAAATATCACACCAGCGTACATGCACGCACACACACACACACACGCGCACACACACACACAAGACGACCCTTGCATCCTTGCTGCCAACAGACAAGGTGTGGCACAAACACTGTACCAGTACTTTGAAGTACCAAAAAGGCGATCTTTAAAAAACGTACAGAACTGCTATGGACCAAATGGCTTCAACGGTGGCTAACATATAGTCCATAGAGCAGTGACAGTAGCTGGGTAACTTTGAGAAAGGGCTACCGACCTGGTCCCTGATCCATCTTGACGAGAGTGACACCGCTTTTGACTTGCAACTCTTCCATCTCCTCATTTATGGCATCTACCTTGTGTAAACTCTCCTTCAGTCGGGCGGTGTGCTGCATTACAAAGGGCCGCTTAACCCGGGCCCAGTCACAGTTTTCGCACACAATCACCATCTTGTTGTCTTCCTCAAACGAACGCCAGAACTGGGCAAAGTCCGCCTTGCAGTGTGCACACACAGGCCGGTGGGTCTGCGCTAGCCTCTCTGGATCCGGCGGGGGCAGGTTGGCCATGGCCAGTTCCACTCTTCGTACACATTCATCCATGCCAATCAAGCCAAGAATAGTCGCGGGGGCAGCAGTCGGCACGAGGGACCACGTGTACTGCGGAGGCTTGTTGGGAATGTGACCCCGCCGGATATACTGCTCCCGGTCCTCTATTAGTTGCCCCATCCGCTTTGCTACTTGGTGCCACGTGCCACCTTGAGGCGCATCAGGTGCAGATGCATTGACGGGCAGAGCATGTGCGCGCATGTCTCTTGCATCGCCAGGCCTGTACGTGGATGGTCGCTGGTTTGCATAGTCCACGCGACTGTGCGCTGCAGGCACGTGCTGATGGTGGCTCTTCGCCACTTGATTGCTTCGGCCCCTGGACAGTGAGTTTGGTGACTGGCGATGGTGGTAGGAAGGCATATCTCTGATGCTGTCGTGCTGTTGCTGTTTCAAGGAGGGTGCACCACCCATCTGGCTGCTGGTCTGGCCGTGAAGATGGTGGTCTCGCTCCATTGGTACCTGACTAGAAGGCAGTAGAGAAGGCGGTGCATCCATTGACGGCAGAGGTGCAGAGTGACTACCACTCGACTCAACACGCCGTCCTCCTGCTCTGTGTACATGCTGCAGCAGCGGCGGCGGCGGAACACAATCCATAGCTTGCTCACTGGAGAGGTCCGGTTGTGACACGGACCGTCCACGATCCGACTGTGGCAAGCGCGCATCATGTGCAGCATAGTCCATCCTCGCCGTGGGGTCGTTGTAGCGTTGGCGACTAGATGACGGTGATTGGCGATAGCGGTCATGATGGCGTGGATACGTCGTTGACTGGGATGGGTATGGTGCATGTGTGGCAGACCTAGGTTGCATTTGCTGATGATGATGATGGCGTGAAGATGATGAATACTCGTGTACTGCAGTGCTAGCTACTTTGGATGACGGTGGCGACGATTGATACGAACGCTGTGCTGTGGAAGAGCGATAAGTTGGCTGCAGCGGAGGTGGAGCCGGCTGCAACTGATCGTGGCGCTGACGCGACAACGAACCACTGGAATGGCCCCCGATTTCTTGCTGGTGTTGCTCCAACTGTCCCATCTCCTGTTGGTGTTGCTGAGACTGTGACGCTGACTTGCCGCCAGGGAAATCTTCCCGGGGATCAGTCCGCTGGCTCTGCCGCATCTGTTTCATAATCGTCAGCTTCATCTCTTCAGCAGCAAGCTGCGACTGAAGCTTGCGCACCTGCTCCATTGTCAAGCGCTTGTCCATGCTGTCACGGTCACTGAAGCCTGGCAAAACCTACAATGGATTGCACAGACATCAACCACCACATACACACATATACACACAAACACACGCACGCATGCGCACACACATACACTCAGACACACACATACACTCAGACACACATATACACTCAGACACACATATACACACAAACACACGCACGCGCGCACACACATACACTCAGACACACACACACACACACACACACACCAAAGTCACAATGGTACTGGCGCCAACGCAGCATCAGCCATGCAGCATGACTGAATTGGTGCCTTAGGCAAAGCACGGCGTGTGTTTATGCAGGGACGAGAGAGAGAGAGAGAGAGAGAGAGAGAGAGAGAGAGAGAGAGAGAGAGAGAGAGAGAGAGAGAGAGAGAGAGAGAGAGAGAGAAGATAGAGAGAGAGAGAGAGAGAGAGAGAGACAGAGAGAGACAGAGAGAGAGAGACAGAGAGAGAGAGAGAGAGACGGAGAGAGAGAAAGAGACTTAGCATGTTTTAAAACTCGTAACTGTTAGTCATGTGGCTAGACCTGTGGAGATGCTCTAGCAGTTCAACGAAAGACAGATGACAACAAGTGTGAACCACTTGTGTCCATGAATATAACTTTGCATAGCATGGCCAGGAAAATTGGACCTAGTGACTAAAATAATTGTTGCGCGGCACACTTGGCCTGCCGTCCTAGGAGTAACAAGTGCACATGACCAAGTATCAGTTGTCCGATGATAGCCTTGCAGCATGAAACTCGGAGTTGCAACGAACCTGAATGTCCTCTGCTGAGTCTACATTGAGTACTCTCTGCAGCTCGGGGATCAACGGATTTGTAACCAAGACTGTGCATATGTTGAAGTGCGAAAAACCCACCCGAGATGGTTTATAGCGTCATTTTCTGGTTGAAGTATGATTACCATATTTTCCGGGTTATAAGCTGCACTTTAAAAACCAGCAATTCACCCAAAAAAGCCGGTGCGCCTTTTGCTACGATGGTCAAATTAGGGAGAATGAAGTTGACATCAGTTATCAACCATGGTCAAATTAATGGTGATAAACGGGACAGATGTCTCAGTGTGTACTTTGTGACAAAAATCTGGCTGCGGCTTACATGTACCCTCCGGAAAATACGGCAAGTGCTTTCTATGCTTGCCATGTTGATACTGTGTAAGTTTATCAGGCTCAGGACTGATCTCTGGCTACGCGGCATGATGGCACCAGCCAAATGGCCGGGCAAGACTGGTGCAAGTCAACTTAATGAAAAAATCGAACGGCTGCGGGCCGAGATGGTTGAGTTCCACACCAGCTCTTGATGATATCAAAGGGTTTATAACCCCAAGAGTGTACACTGTGACTCTGATCTTCAAGCTACGGGTGCCAAGCGCCGTGTGCCGCCTTCCAATACGTAGTGAAATGACGATCAAGCCGCAGTGACTGGATTAGAGTTTTAACGCAGTTTAGCCGCAACAATTTCATGCGCAATACCGTCGGGTACAGCATTCGTCCCAGGATGCGCAAGGTCTCTAATCTTTATAATAATCTCATTAATGTTTACTGTGCACATGTGGGTCAGGGATAACAACAAAAAAACAATTAAAAGGTGAATGAACCGCTAGATATAGGATAAATGCATGGATTGCATGTAGACTACCAGAGAACGCTCAGTTCTGGCAAATAATACATGAATGTGCAGTGCTTCCTAGTACTGACTATGGTGTTCGACGGTTCGTGTTGAGAACGTAAATCCACGAGACGCAAAACAAATGACGAGGTTTCGTACGAATGCGAAGAATGACACCACTCCGACCAGGCCGGGTTCACTTGTACTTGTGGCATTCCTTGCGTCTACGTAATTATGCACGTGAACTCCAAGGCATCGGTAGATCTAAGGCGGGATGAAGATTGGATTAGGAATAACGTAGAATGACAGTCTGAACCCTGTACGCGTGAGGGTTCGCCATTTCAGTTTCAGGCAAGAGCGAGCACCGCGCACCCAGCAGTAGAACGGGATTTATCCACGAGCTGGACAGAGCGTAACAGACCAGTTCACTGATCCAACCGAAATGTTCACAGAGAACGTTCGTAGATCCACCAATGCCAATGGCAATGGAACAAAAAATGTTATTTTTACCCACCAGCCGGCACAGGCATGGATTGGAACACGATTACAACGGCAGTCTGCATCAAAACTCGTTCCAATCTCAGCTTCCAAAGACAGTTAGCTCACTTATGACCACGTCGACTCGCGTATAATTATTCGCATACACCTTTACTACACAACAGAAAATCATATTTCAAAACCAGCACAATAATTCTTTCGCTTACTTCCACGTCGGTAAGCTTGTTGTTGCGGCTATCGCGCTATCATCTGGAAATTAGGCCACGACGACCCAGGTCAACAAATGCGCTAGGCTATCCGCCACCGCGATGGAGAGCAGCATCGATTGATTTTCTATTCCCATTGAAAGCACAAGTCAAATCTGTGCGAATACACCTGGGACAAAAAGTCAAGAAAATAAGTCTTGTCGCTCACTTGCAAGGCGGCCTCCTTGGACCTTGATCCAAGCAATCACTGTTGCGTGAAAATGTAGATCGGGGAGTGTCTCCGAAGAGGGCCGGCTGAGGCCAGCAGGCTAGGCACTCAGACTCAGAGCTGCATGGTGGGCGCGCGCTGCGCGAGCGCGCGTGTGTGCGCCCGTACTTGTAGATCTGCGTGTATGTTCTTGAGATGAGGGTCGCGCGTTTGACAAACAAGTCGTGCAGCGTCGGCGACAGGCCGCTCACCTGAAGTGAAGCCTTGGGCTGGCTTGGGTCGGTTGGGTCTGACTTGGGATATCCCACCGATCACAGACAGAGGTGCCGAGATCTGCATGACATCAAGCACGGACTTCTGCATACTTGTTTCGGCACCGTCTACCATGGTCTACACTACACTCTACAGACTCAGTAGTAGTAGTACCAAGAGTAGTGTTCGGTGCCTCGAACCCAGGCGCATTTTGAGTGGAAACAGTTTTGTACGGGGTCCGTGGCACAATCGTACATCACTGTGCTTCTAGTTCTAGCCTTGGCAAGGTAAAATTTTAGCAGCTCAGGACGAGTTTGTTTCTTTGTTGGAAAGAGGAAATGTCTCTGCTGTTGAGACCGTAAGTCCCGTTTCCACACGACGAATTTTAGCAATGTTACGCCCTGCGCAACTTCAGGGTATCGATTTCGGCCTGTTCTGGGCCGGTCGCAACGCCGGCGACTATTCCATCGTCTTCAGCGTTGAAAAAATACGGAGTGTGTGAAATTTGGAGGCTGTACGATGCTGTCTTCTTGTTCTATGAGCGATCGATTTGCGCCAGGATACCAAATGTATGGAGTACATGTACATGTACATGTAGTAGAAGGACTTGGCTGTAGTGTTGTTTATTTGTAGTTTCGCTGAGCTACCACATCAGATAAACCTCTGGTCGCTGTATCTGGAGAGTGGAGAAAGCCATTGTGCAGACAAATTGGTCAAGAGCAGATTTCCTGCCAATACTGCGTTCAATATGCAGCTGAAAATCTGCACAGAATTGACACTCAGAGGATTTGCAAAATTGCAGCGCGCTAACGCAGTGCAGCTACGCAACGCCGTATGCACCGTGTCTGGAGTACATTGTCATCCACATAGCATGGGCAATGTAGGACCAGTGTATTTGTCGACTTTATAGTTTACATCCAAATTACGCTTGCACAATCATCCGATAAATGAACTGTCTGTTGATTGTGCGAATCGTATGAATGAATTACATGTGACGTGCGACACCAATTGCCCCGAAGTGCTGCACGCGCCGTATATGACTGGGAACAAGTTGTCCTTCTAAAGCTGATGATTAGCAGGACTGCTGCTGCCTTGGCCTGGCTGAAGCTTACATCGTGTTGAAATGGTGCAGCATATCTGTTAATTGGCTGCATGCATCCGGTCCTGCGGCGCAACATGCCCGGGTGCGGGTGCCGTCTCGGCTGAGTGCGTATGTTATTTTCTTGGATGCTTCATCTACATGGGGTAGATAACTGTAATCTCCTCCTGGTGATGTGTCTTTGTAGTACACGTATTCCAATTAGCTTCAGCCTGTGAAGGGTTACATCTTTCGCATCTATTTCGACTAATTTGTACGCGTTGCTATGGTGGTTGCTATGGGCGTAATTTGAATTTGGCTAATTGGAATACCAAAAAAATTGGTCAAGTGATGGAAGCTCTCTATTGGCTATCATCTGTGGAAATTTGAAAGTCCCTGAACGAAATTGATTTTCACCTTGTTCTAGTTGGTTTTGAATTTCCCGGTTTTGTGCCACTGGCCTGCATCAAAACTGTTCCAGAAAAAGTGCCAACAAGCGCACTTCAAACGATCATAACTCTTGATCGTCTGGTCGGATTTAGACAAACCTCATATATTTCCCGGCTAGTTTATCCTACTCTTTCCAATGAGACTAAAATCGAGGAGATTGGAGCAACTTTCAAAATCGTCCGAACACCCTACCAAGAGTACTGTCTTGTACTCTTGGTAGTACTGTCATGGCCCTGTATAGATAGTACTACTCACCAATACCACTATAGTATAGTACTAGTGCTGCACACATTCATTATCAGCCTGTCACCTACCTCTACCGCGGCTCTTCATCAATGTTCTCTTCCTTTTGATTAGGATAGGGTTACCTCTCCTGTCGCCGGACCTAGACTATCCATTACCATAGAACTGTCAGCTATTGTCTCTGTTGCCGGTCCGCTGTTCTGCTGTTCCGCTTGCTCCGATTCATGATTAGCATTAGCTTCAATACTTAGATACATTACTCTTTGCTGAGTTCAGCACAGCTCACTACTCGTTCGCTGCTGCCTGCTCGATCCTTCCCTTCGTAGCCGCTCGCATAGATTTCAGCTAGTATAAGTTCGCTGACTTGGCCAGATATCTATGAGAAGTATTAGTCTATTAGGAGTCTTGTTTGAGTCTTGTATTAGTCTTATTCTCTTTTATAGCTTTCTTGACTTTCTTTATAGGAGTTCCGCTACCGCTCAAGCGGACTTGTCCGCTTGAGCCGGTGTGGCCTTTGACTTTGTAGTTTCTTACTGTTCCTTTGTTCCTTTACTATATCGGACCTGAGGGCTCCGCCACCCTGACTTCTCTCTGTGCTTTGGGTCTGAGGTACGCCTGAGTGGAACTACCAAGAGGCGCACATATACTTTGTGCAAACGGGCTTGGGATAACTAACACGTAGGGACGATCAGCCAGCCACGACACTTGGTGCTGTGACCAGGATTCTTCTTGGTCTAGTTTCCCAGGCCCTCCGCCCTACTCTTGGTCTACGCCCGTTCACTCTCCGTCATCGTTCCGTCCTCCGCTGTGGCTCTGCCGTACAGGCTCTGTAATCTACGCCGCCTCACGAGTTCTTTGGATTGTGAGTGCCTACTGACGATTCCTCGTCGATCGACGAGTCGTACGCCAAATCCGTTGAAGACACGCGCTCCGAGTTGCGAACGGCAACAAAGAGAATACTTACGCCAGGTTACCACTGCGTTTGCAATCGTTTCCTCTTTGAAGAGAAGCAAAAGACACGTTCCTCGGTGTTGATCGTCAGTTGCGCCGCTCTGCTGTTTCAGCAAAGCCATACGCTCCCAAACGTGTTGTGGTACTGTCTGTGCTGCTTCCGTTGGCCTACGCCTTTGTGATCAGTCCTGCCTCCGGAGCCCTGGTCAATCTGTTCGCCTGTGTTACGCCTGTGAGCTGTGTTCCGCTCGCAAACAAAAAAGAGTTTCGTCTCTTCGCCGGTGCATGCTCCGCGATCTTCGTTGTACATGATTGTACAGTCCGCACTCTCTGAGCGTGCGCTCACTCCGTTGTGTGTTCAAATCAGCTCAGCTGGTATATCATGGTATATGGTATGGTTCACCGGTTTCTCCGCCGATGTAGTTCCTGTGGGAGCTGTTGACGAAACGCTCATGAGTTACGTGAGTGCTCCGTTGTACGACGAGTTTGGGTCCCGCGCGTTGGGTCATTCACCGCTGCAGCACTTCCTCCGGGAAGAGGTTGACTCTACGCGCTCTCCGCCTGATGGAGATGGCCATCCTCCAGCTCTGTGCTCGAGCTCGTTTACGCTGTGTGACGGAGTATGCGCGTCATGCCTCGTCGGTCTTCCGCTTGATTCCGCCAGACCACTTACGCTTATCTCCTGGTGTTGGCCTTTGTCCGCTGTCCACAGCTCCTGTGGTGCATTGATTGTCTTGATAATTGAGAGATGGCTCTCGTGATACTGATACGCCCTGCAACAGGCGCCTGGCGCCACCTCCGTCCTATTCATGTTTCGTTTCTGTTTCCGCTGATGATTGTCCTTTGTCCCGCGTGGCGATTGAGTTTCGTCTGGTTTACGCTTCGTCTGGTCTGATGCGCTATTGGCGATGTGGTTCCGCCTGGTGCAAGAGAAGGATTGTGCGCACGATTGGTGCGGTTCGGATCGTCACTGGAGAAGTTCCTGGTCTCGTGACTGGATCCAAGATCGGAGTAGAGAGAAAAAGCTCCGATGGCTCGCGGTTTGTGGTTGCGCTGATTGCCCGTCGTTGTATTGCTGCCGAGTGCTGGCGACGGAATTGAAGTCCGATCTGACCGTGGAGTGGTTTGTGTTGTAAAATGCGTAGCCGGCTACGTGACAAGCGGCGAAAGGCTGCTGTGGTGCTCGGGAGCTCGCGTCCGACTGATCAACGGAGAGCGGAGCTGGCCAGGTAAGAGTACGGAGATATATGCACGCGATCAGACCATCGTCTTTTGTGAGTTTTGTTTTTTGGTTGTCATTGGAGGTTAGCTGGTTTTACTTTTTCAAGGTTTTGGAAGGGTTTGTCTGAAGTATTTGTTTTGCAAGCAGTAACGGGTTTACTGGTTTTGAAGGGGTGCAGAGGTAATGAATGGTAGTTATTGAGTTCACGGAGGTTGAGAATCTTGGGTTTTCTTTCGACTGAAGAATACGTAATAGAAAGTTCAGGCACCAGCTGTTGACGTGACATTGTTTTGTTATCATTTTGTTGTTATTTTGGAGGTTTTGTTGATGTATCCACCTATTCCACGGGTTCCGGGTCACTGATGAGTACCATTTTCTTTCTGTCTATGTGAAGTACACCTTTGGGCTGTTACTTGTTCGTGTTACCGTGGTATCAGGCTCTGTTTTGACGTAGGTTGAAGATACTAGTAGTGGTGAGTCTTGTCGTATGAATCATTGCGGGGAGTGTGACTGCATTAATGTTGTTATTGTTGCCGTTGTTGTCTA